CTTCCAGGTCTCCTTGGGGCTCCTTCCCGCCAGGACCGGAAGGAGCTGATGCAGCGGTACCGCCTTCCCACGCGCTGAGACCCGGCGCCACCACGTCCTGGGGCCGGTTTCGGGGCGCTTCCCTGGGCGGGGGAGGGGGTGCGGGGAACGCACCCGGACCGCGCCTGTCTCGCACACGCGGAGCGAGAGGCCCAGCCTGCAACCCTTGGCTACCTTGTGCCTCTGACTTCCGGGGGCAGGGAGTGATGGGGTGCCCGTGGAAGAAGGGCCCGAGAGACGTTCTGGGGCGTCTGCGTGGGCCCCGCGTTTATCCAGGAAGCTTAAGCTCAGGGGTTCTGCCGACGGAGAGAAAGGGCGGGAAGGACGGTCCCATTCACCTCTTGGCCCTCCCGGGAGCGCTGGCGGGTTCCCCTGGGGACCCCAGAAGGATGCAATGTTGGTAGGCCTTGCCCACCCTTGGCCTGTCCTTCCCTTGGAAGTAGAGGACCCTCTGGCAGCCCTCCAGGAAGAATCCAGGTGTCTGAAGCGGAGCCAGCATTACGGGGTGCAGGGCCGAGCGGCCCGGGGCGACAGGAGCAGGACGCACACGGCGCCCTGGCAAAGCGTGCTGTGCCGCTTAGCCACACCCCCACACAAAAGACGTTTGGAAACGGGGCCTCGCCGGAGTACGGACGTCATCTTCTGCACCCCAGCGGCAAAAACACGCCCGGCCCAAGCTGCAGGATCACCCCCATCCCCGGGTCTCGGAGGCGCAGGCGCGGTTCCCACCCCCGCTCCGGAGGGTCGCAGCGCCCGCAGCGGGGCAATGTCGCGTGGGTCCGAGAGGCCTGGGGGCGCCGACCGCAGCCGGCGACACTACACCCAGACACCATAGGTGCCAGAGTGTTGGGGAAAAGAAAAAAATAAAACAGGGCTCGTCCGGGATTTGAACCCGGGACCTCTCGCACCCAAAGCGAGAATCATACCCCTAGACCAACGAGCCGGCTTGTAAGCATCCCGTGACGTGGGCCCTTGGAGGCCTGCACTCCCGGCTCCGCTCCCGGCCGCTGCACAGTCGCCGGGGGAAGTTTCGGTTTCGATTCCGGAAACGGCGAGGGGGCGTGCTGGCCGCCCGACCACTCGGTGCGTCGCCCCAGTGACCTCAAGCCGCTTCGGGAGCTAGAGCGACAGTTAGCGTGGCCGGGGAGGTGGTCGGCGCCGGAAATTGGAGCCCGAGAACAGGCTCTGTCGCGCCTTAACGGCCAGCTCCAGGGGCTTCTGAGGAAAGGCGCCCCGAGCTAGCAGTGCTGCAGGGAACCTATCCGCACGCCCGCTGTCACCCGCCCGGCTAGCTCAGTCGGTAGAGCATGAGACTCTTAATCTCAGGGTCGTGGGTTCGAGCCCCACGTTGGGCGTGCGTTTTGGTGTCACATGTTTTGCAGCTGGATCGTGTCCTCGCTGTACTGTGACAGCTTGAAGAGCGGCGCTAAGGCCTGGACGGGTGTCCATCTCCCTTAACTGGAGGACCCGCGCCCACACCCTGTTTTCTTCCTAGTGACTTTACTGCCTTGCAGAACACACTGGACATTACTTCTCCCTCCAGCCCAGGCATGGCATGTTTTTGTTTGTTTTTGCTATAAATGTGGGAGTTTAATTAAATCGGGATGTTTAATCAAAACAGGATTTTTTAATAGTAAATTAAAATATTTTTTCTAGTAACTATATTGCAAGGGAGGCAGTTTTGTGGCCTTCAGTCCACCTTTCTTACCTCAACCGCTACCACTGTGCAAGTAAAGAAACTTGTGAGGCTTTATTCGTTGGAAACAATGTTTCCCAGCAAGGCAGGAGCCAACCCATGCTACTGGGATTCCAGTTTGAACCACTGTGTCAGCGGTAGGAGCAATAGTCATACAATGAACACTGTTACAAAGGTGAATCATTCTAGCTCCTCATCTTGCAGAATGAGCAGTTCCACTTTATTTCACTTTATGACAAAAAGAACGTCCCCACAATTGTCACCTCCAAACTGTTTCTTCATACTGGGTAGTTTGATTTTTAAAACTCAACCCTTTGTACCCCGGGTGGGACTCGAACCCACAATCCCTGGCTTAGGAGGCCAATGCCTTATCCATTAGGCCACCGGGGCAGACAAGGAGACCTGCTGCCGTCTGGATTCAGTCTCTTGTCCGTCGGGTGGCTCCCGGGCGAGCCTGCAGCTGAGAGCTGTTTTTGGTCCCGGGCCCCCCGCGCTGCCTGCGGAGGGGGCAGGACCCCCCATCTGCTGAGCCCACCCTCTGCTCCTGCTAGCAGCGAACAAACGTTTGCGTTGCAGCACTCTTCGCCCTGTTACAGCCTCCCGCTCTCGGGGGGACCCCATCCCACCGAGACAAGGACCCCAGAATCGCCGCGATGGTGCTTCCCCGTCTTCAAAAGGTTCCCTCCGTGGAGTTAAGACCCTCCCGCAACCAGCTTGGCTCGGCAGGGTCTCCTGGGCGGAGCGACCTCTCCATCCAGGACATACGCTCTGTATTCAGATGTTTAAATCCACATCTCTGTTACGTAAGGGTTCGTTGTCGTCGCCTGAAATCAAACACACCTACTAGAGTTCCTCGCATTTTGATTAGGAGGCACAGTATGTGCTAAGGACATACACAGAACACTTCAGTCGTTAGGAAGCGCTATGGGTACCCTCACGGCAAGGTGCATCCTCCCTGTGTTCCCACTGGGTCTCACCTCAAGGCTCTGTTTCACTGTTCAATGCCCCTGTGCCCCGATGCCCCCTCCCCAGAACACCTCCAGTCCGCCGACCTCCCCCGCAGCAGTCCCCTCGCCGGTCCTGCGGCGCTGGTTCCTACAGGGCCGCGGGGCCACGCAGGTGCAGTCCTGCCAGGAGCTGAGGCGTGCGAGAGTCTGGCACGACCCAAAGGTCTACAGCCCGCATAAAGGAGAAAAAAAATTTAAAAAAAAAAACGCCCAGCAACGACCACGAAGGGACTCGAACCCTCAATCTTCTGATCCGGAATCAGACGCCTTATCCATTAGGCCACGCGGCCCCGCGGGGAACAGTTGCGCCATGTTTCCCATAAAGCTTGTTGAAGCGCTTGCGCGCCGTCCAAGACGCGCATGCTCCGAGTAAGGCGTAGTCCCGCCCCTCGGGCTGGGATGGGCGGGACCGAGGCCGACACGGGGCCGGCGGGTGGCCGCGAGTTCGATTCCGATTGCGCCGCCTCTGCCCCGCCCGACCCGTGAGTCCTGGATCTGCTGTTCGCTGCCCCACACGGGGCTCTGGCCGCCGCCTTGACGTCAAAGACCCTTTGCAGTACTGGAAGGTGACGTGGACCCCGAGAAGCCCGTGGCCTGGACGCCTTCCGTCCGGGGCCGCCCCAGGACCTTCATCCCGGCTCGTGGTGCGTTCTCGCCCCGTGCACTGCGGCACATCCTGGAAGCGCCCTGGGGAGAGCGGGCGCCCCCTCGCGTGCGGCCATCGTCCACCACCGTTTACTGCCCGCTGAACCGAGGTCGTCCCGCTCACAGACGCGGGCCACCGAGGACGGGGCGGGGAATCGACGAAGGCGCGGGCGGGCAGCGGGCGCTCAGGGCTGCAAGTGGAGCCCGCGGCGCAGCGAGCTGCGGATCTCCAGGCAGGCCTTGCGGGGCTCGTCGCAGTCAGGTCCCAGCACTTCCAGCTCGCACACCCTCCGGTTGACCTGCCAAGGCCACAAGCAGCCTGTGCCCAGGGCTCCCAGCCTGGCAAGCCAGGCACAGCCCTGAGCCAGGGGGTGGAAAGGGCATCTTTGAAGGCTGCCTTGCCATCTTCTAGAGGGTAGCAAAGCCCTCTGCTCCTGTCTGATGCTCCCCACTTTGCCAAAGGTGCCCCCCGTTCATGCAACCAGATGGCAAGTCCTGCCAGACCCCCCCCCCCCCCTTGAGAACCAGGCTCCTTCCGCTCTACAAAGAAGCGTCTTGGGCTGCAGAGCCCTACATGGCGGCCTAGCTGGCATGAGACTGTGGTCAGTGATACCTGTGACTGCTCCCCTGGGGGCTGACCTCTCCCTCACACCCCGGCCAAGAGGAAATGGCCAGAACACCAGGACTGGGGTGAGGTGCTCCTGGGCCAGCCGCTGGTTCCCAGCACACCTCAGTTAGAAGTTCCAGAAGCTCTCTCTGGGGCTCCGCCCTGATGACTTCCACCAGCGTCTGGATAAAGTCTGAGCCGCTCTCGTCCCGGTAGGCTACATGACCTAGGAGGGAGACCAGGCCAGGGTTTCAGATCCCAGTCTCTCCCCCTGCTCCCACCCGCTGCCTTCACAGCCCCAGGGGCCTGTGGTTGGTGGAATAGGGGACAGGCTGACAAAGACTCCAGAACACAAAGCCCAGGAAGAGAGGCTTCTTGCTAGAGAACGAGCTGTTGCTTGATATGCATCAAGCATATGGATGTCAGGTGTTTGTTGGGATGGATTTCCCACTGAACACGCACATGGGCCTTTGTGCCAAGCCCTGGGCAGAGCCCGGAGACAGACTGTGCCCCCAGATCAGCCTGGAGAAAAGGGTGTGGGAGCAGCTCCCCACTCCCCCACCCCCTGGCCACTTTCACTACTGCTGTCAGCGACGAGCGAGGGAAGGTGAACAGGGAAGGCTGGCACTCCACACAGGTGCAGGTGGGCCCCGTGTCCCAGGCGCGCAGGCGCCCACCAACAAGTGAGACCTGAAGAGGACTCCTTACCCTCCGCAGCTGCGTAGGCTGTCAGGATGTCTGCCTGCTCATAGCTCCAGGGAGCAGGATCCCCAGAGGACATGCCTGCAAGGGAGACCAGCAGCCCCACTGACCCAACCTTCCCTAACCTGGCTCAGGGCCATGGGCAGGAAGGACAAAGGAGCGTGACTCAGCCTGGCTGCCTGCCAGCTTCCCACCTCCAGCTGGCTCAGTAACTCCGAGAGGGGAAGGGGCCCTGGGCTCCGAGGGCCTTGCACTTCCTTTGGGAAGCCTCTTCCATCATCTTGGCCCAGACCATGGGGTGCCAGTGGCACCCCACGCCAGAGCCCTAGAAATATGCCAGGGCGGCTCCCTCAAGCCTGCCTGAGCCAGGGTGGCAGAAGCGGCCCAATCCACTTTGGGTGCTGTGTTGTTTTTGGTTTTTGGCCTCGCCTGGCAGTGCTCAGGGCTTATTGCTATCTTTGTACTCAGGGATCACCCCTGGTGGGGCTTGGGGGTCAGAGAGGGTGCCAGGGATCAAACCCAGGTTGGTGATGTGCAAGGCAAGTTCCCTCCCCGCCATACTATTGCTCCAACCTCCCAACCCACCTTGGGCACTGGCATAGACCTGAAGGATGTCAGCGTGCGATGGGGTGACTGGCGGTGCTCGCAGCCAGCGCCAAAACCGAGAGAGAGCTGGACGCCCCACACCGGCATCTCTGTGCCCTGGGGAGGAAGGCACAGGCAGATGCCTTGGGGTGCCTGCAGGCATGCAGACCCGACCTTGGAGCCAGAAACTTCCCTGAGTGAGTTCCAAGTACCAAGGGTCAAGGACCCACGTTCCCAGATGTATCGGGGTAAGGATGGGGGCTAAAGTCTCCTAGAGGAGGTGCAGATAATCTGGGGGACGCCCCGCTCACCCCCACGGCAGGCCTGAAGAAGGAAGATCTTGGGGCGGCCCCGCAGGGCCCAGCAGCGGCTCAGCTCCTGCACCAGCGCCTCGTGCTGCACTGCTTGCCCATCGGCGCCGTGCAGTTGCCCCCCAGGCCCACCATGGGCCATGAGGGCCACAAGGGCGCAGCTCACAGTGCCCCTGCCGGAGTCCAGCTGCTCCCGGAACCTGGCCAGCTCCTCCTGGAAAGCCTGGGGAGGGGCCGAGCGCTGCCTCCTGCACCCCAGCCAAGTGGCCTCCAAAGGAAGGCTGCCCGGCAGGCACAGGACACCCCTGGAGGGGTCAGGGCCATGTCTGTGCCAATTCTCGGCCGGGAAGGCGGTGAGGGCAGGGAAGGAGCCTGAGACTCAGAGAGTCTGAGGGTGCCGGGAGCCAGGGGCAGGGAAGAGGTCACGGCAGCGAGCACAGGCTGGACCAGGATGTGTCTGTCCTTCCTGCAGTGCCACCAGATCTGAGGCCCTCACCTGTGCTGTGGCGTCTGTCCTCACAGTGGTCTGGAAGCCCAGGGCCTGGCACAGACCCCTTAGTGCCTCCACATCACACCAGGCCCCAGGCCGGCCCCGCACCACCGCCACGATGAGGGCAGCCCTGGCTCCTGCCAGCTCGTACCGGACCCCAAGGCCTTCTGGCTGCAGAGGGGTGCAGCTTGTTCAGTGGGGGCGGGGACAGGACCCCCAGCTCCATGTCCTCTCATCCCCGAGCCCATGGCTGCACTCGGCAGACCCTTCACCTCTGGCTTCCAGGGCTCCACCTCCTGCAGACACAGTGACCCCCGCAAAGAGCTCCGGAGCACAGGACAGCTGGTGGCCCCCGGGGATGCCTCAGTCACCCTCAAGAAGACCTGGAAGGCAGAAAAACCTTAGGGGTCGCTCCACTGAGGGGGCCCTGCTGGAACCTCACTGGGGTCAGTGGAGGGAGAATAAAGGAGGAAAAAGGGGGTGAGACCTGGGGCCACTCAGCTGGGGTCATGGTGAAGGGCCTCCCCTGATGAAGACGTCCCACCCCAACCCACACGGGCAGGTGTGTTCCAAGGAGTGCCTGGCAGGGATCCCCTCACCGCTGGACCCTGTGCTATCTCTGCCCACCTTAGTCTCTGGGCACGAGAACAGACCTGATGATCTCACCCACATCACAGTGTGCACGGAGTGGTAGGAGGGGGTGTGGACCATCACTCCAAGGTCACCGCCTTGTCCCAGCCTCCCAGATGGAGCAAACGGGGCCTCACCAAGGACAGCCACAGTGGGGGCACAGCCGGACCCCTCACCCCACCCAGGACCCCAGGCGGACCCACCTCTGTGAGGAGCCGCAGCAGAGGCAGCTGAGGGGTGAGGCCACACAGCTCGGCTAGGATGCTGGGGAAGGCGCCAGGTTGCAGGGGTGCTGGGGGCAGAGTAGCATATGGGGCTGGAGAACTTGGGGGGCCTCTGCCCCTAGCCCTGCACCCTGGTCAGGCCCACTCACCCCCAGGAGTGCTGGACAGCAGCAGCAGGACCTTGGGACAGCCCCGCAGGGCAGTAGAGTAGCTCAGCTCCCAAGCCAGCGATTGCGGTTGCTGCAGCTGCCCTGCGGGAGCCACCACGGCCACCAGGGCACAGCCCACGGGGCGACCTTGGGCATCCAGCTGCTCCCGGAACCCCGCCAGCTCCCCCAGGAAAGCCTGGAATGGGCGAGACGGTGAGCCTGAGTCGGGGAGTGGGCAGGGAGGGTGCGGGCCCCGCCCCAGGCTCACCTGCGCCTCGGCCTCCCTCCTCCGGCAGCTGTGGAAGCCAAGCGCTCGGAAGGCATCCTCCAGGAGCTGGGGGATCCCGGCCGGCACCCCAGGACTGCTGAGCAGCAGGGCCGCCCTGGGGCCCTGCAGGCTGTACTTCCCCTGCAGAGACAAGGCCAGGGCTGGGCTGGGCTGGGGGTGGGGAGCCAGGACCCACGGCAGGGCCTCCCATTACCTTTCTCCCCAGGCTGTCCTGCGAGTCCACCACCTGTGCAGCTGCCTGCAAGGTCCCGGCGACCAGGAAAGCCATGGACCCAGGGAGGCTCTCCCAGCCCCAGCTCCCCTGCAGATGGGGCCTGACCCTTGCCCTCTCCCCAGGCCCAGTCCTATCTGCAATTTATGAGCTAAGCTGAACTCTGCCCTCCCCCGGGCCCCGGGGGCCTGTGACCCAATGCTCTTGTCCCCACAGATCCCTTCCTGGCACTGTCACACCCCCACCTGAGCCAGGAGCGTGTGCCCAGTCCTATTCTTAGCTCTGGCCACCCCTATCTGATCTTGTTCCGGCCCAGTGCTTCATTCATGATGGCCACCAGCGCCAACGGGCTGGCCTGTTCCTCAAAGGGCACGCTCATGCACTGTAGCCGAACACCTGGTCCCCTGGATCTGGGCGATACCCAAGACACAAGTCACAAGATAAGTCACCGTCCTTGGTGAGACCCTGTTTGCTCCATCTGGGAGGCTGGGACAAGGCGGTGACCTTGGGGTGATGGGCAGGAAGCCAGCTACGAGGGGCCTGGAAGGGCTGAGAACAGTCAGGTGGTCCGAGCTGGAATAGAGCCCACAACTGCTGGGGCCCCACCCGTGGTCATCCCATCCAAGGGCCCATACACAGGGCATGCACAGGATGGCAGAGGGTGAGGAGCCCAAGGCTCAGGGCTGCCCTTGTGCCCAGCTGACCTGGAAGCTAGGAATAAGGCTCTGCTTGGTGACCACGGTGTCCCAGGCCAGCAGGAGACCAAGGGGCAGTGACCCGAGGGTGTCCACCCAGCAACCCCTACAGAAACAGACGACCTGGGAGGAAGTTTCCACCTTTATTCCGACTTCAAGAGGCGCTGCATGTGCACCTGGGGCCAGCAGTCTCCAGGGTGCAGTGCTAGCCAAGTGCTGATAGATGCTAGTGTTAAGTACCACAGTGCCCTCCTAGCCCCCGCTGGAGGTGTAAGGCGTGGGCCCCCAGGCAGGGCAGACTGTCATGGGCAGTGACTATCCTGTCAGAGCCCGGGCAGGGGGAATCAAGGTCTGTCCCTACCCTCAGAACAGCGCCCCAGAGCAAACCAGGCAACCAGGTTCCTAGCCCCCACTTCCTGCAACCGAGTTTCCGTGGCCAGAGCTGCTGGGGCTTCAGGAAGCAGGAGCAGGACCGGCCCGGCAAGCAGGCGGGAGGGAGCGCGGCAGAGGCCGCTGGGGGCGCTCTCAGCCCACGGGCTGCGCCGTCTTGGCGTGCAGGCTCTGGTGCGCGATGAGGTGCGCACGCTGCTTGAAGCTCTTGTCGCACTCGCCGCAGCCGAAGGGCCGCTCGCCCGTGTGCACGCGCCGGTGGTCCAGCAGGTAGGAGCGCAGCGAGAAGCTCTTGCCGCAGTCGCTGCAGCCGAACGGCTTCTCGCCTGTGTGGATGCGCTGGTGGCTGGCCAGGTAGGCGCTGCGGCTGAAGCTCTTGCCGCACTGGGCGCAGGAGAAGGGCTTCTGGCCCGTGTGCACGCCCTGGTGCCGCACCAGGTCTGACGAGCTGCGGAAGCTCTTGTCGCACGCCTGGCACTTGTGCGGCTTTTCGCCCGTGTGCGTGCGCTGGTGGCGCGCCAGGTCCGAGCCCCAGCGGAAGCGCTTCCCGCACTGGTCGCAGCTGTGCGGCTTCTCCGTGTGTCCCCGCCGAGCGCCCGCCGCCCGCGCCCCCGCCGCCCCCGGCCTAGCCCAGGCCTCGGCCGACTCCTCCTCCTCCTCCGAGCGCCACGACCCAGGCCCGTCTCTGGTGTCGTCGCCCAGGTCGCCTGCCCGGCCCAGGCGCGTGGGCCCCGCCTCCTCCAGCCGGGGCCTCTCGTTCCGACTCTGGCGCCCCAAACCTGCCGGCCCAAAGGAGGCGGCTGGTGAGCAGAAAGGGCCAGAGCCTTGGCTGCTGGACACTGTCCTGCCAGCGTCCTCTTCCATAGGGGGCAAGACGGCAAGCCAGCTGAGACGCAGCGGGGGTGGGCTCCACCAGTGCGTACTCCCCACCCCCTGCCTCAGCACCCACATTCAAAAGCTGAGGCGCGTCCAGGAAGGCTGAATCGGCCAACGCCCTGCTCCCGGAAACAGGGTTCTGGATCAGGCTAGGGAGAAACCCCGACACCCCTTGGGGTCTGGCATGCAGGGGGCCTGATACTGGCCAGGCCTCGTGACCAGCTGCTGTGCCTCAGTGTCCCCGAGATGCGGTGGGCGCTGAGACTGGGGCCTTCTGATAACACTGGCTCAGCCAAGCAAAGGGACAGGAGCAGCGAGCCGAGACGGCAGGAAAACAAGGGTCCGGCGGGCGGACGTGGGCGTGGCCTCCGCCCCCTCCCGCTGCTCCTCCAGGCTCTGGGGCTCTTCTTACCCTGGAAGATGTTCTGGGAGTTCTGCCGCTTTATGTCCCAGAAGAGGTCCCTCCGCGCAGGGTCCAGGCACCTCCATTCTTCCCGGGAGAAGTAGAAGGGAATGTCTCCAAAGGTCACGAGTCCCTGGAAGAGGTGACAAAGCCAGGCTCAGGCCACCCAGGCTGGGGAGAGAGAGAGCAGCAGCGGCAGGACCAGGAAGAGGCCTTGGGGAGCCGCCAGGCCCACTGAGGATTTCTGGGGGTTTCTGGGGGACAAAGGGACTGTAACTCACGTGCACCCCCGGGGCAAAGCCAGTGTCCCTGGCGTCTCCGGGACTCCCCTCTTTAAGAAAAGCAGGACGCTGAGCTGCGGGAAAGGAAGAGCCCAAACTAGACCCCGTACCCGCACCCCCAGGACCCCCAGACCAGAGGCACCGCTCCTGCTCCCAAGGGCCAGGCCTAAAGGCAGTGCGACTCGGCTCACTCACCATCAGGGCTGTGCTGCTCCCCGGGGCCAGGCTGGCCCTGCGCCCCCACCATCGGGGGAGGCCCCTTGGCCTGGGCTCCCAGCACCGAAGCCTCGGACTCCACCTCCTGGGAGGGCACGTCCTGTGCAGGGACCACAACATGCTCATCAGCACCGAGCGCACAAAGGGCGATGGCTTAGTCCCTGGGAAGGAGACACAGGACACGGCCCTCAGGGAAGGCCCACGGGACACACCCAGGCACAGTCCCCTGGGGAAGGCGGGAGCCATGGAGCCCCGGGGCTGAGTTGGGGGCAGAACCCCACAGGCGGCCAAGCCAACCAGGGTCAGGCCAGGCCTACCCTCTCAGCAGCTAGGACGAGTGCCCGCCCGCATACCCGAGGCCCCCTCACCTGCAGCCGGGCTCCCCCTGGTGGCTTCTGTAGCTCCTCCACCAGGGCCACAGCCTCCTCACCGCTCTGGGGCTGCTGCTCGCGCACCCGGGCCTGCAGCTCCCTGGGCAGCGCGCTCAGGAACTGCTCCAGCACCAGCAGCTCCAGCATCTGCTCCTTGGTGCGCTGCTCGGGCCGCAGCCAGCGGCAGCACAACTCCCAGAGCTGGCTGAAGGCCTCATGGGGCCCACTGGCATGCTGGTAGCAGAAGTGCCGGAAGCGCTGGCGGCAGGACTCGACCTCCTGGGCCTCCCTGGCATCCTCGGGCAGGGCAGAGTCCTGCTCCCAGGAGGAGTCTTCTACCTTCACGATCAGAAGTCCTTCTCCAAGGGCCTGGTCCTGAGGCTCTAGGGGCGCTGCCATGCCCCTGGCCTGTGGCTCAGGCAGATGGGATCAGCCTCCAGCTGGGCCAGGAACAGCCCCTCAGTCTCCCACAGGGCACTCCTGTGGTGTCGGAGTCCGCATCTGCACACACGAGTCTGAGCAGCCTCCTGGGGAAAGAGCAAACAGGAAGAAGCCCTGGGCAAACCCCAGCTTGGGGGGGAGATCCCGACTGCTCAGCAGTACCTAGTTCACGCCCCACCCCTCAGTTCTCATAGAAGACCCCCAGGTTTTCACCATCGGCCCGTGGGCATGCATGCAGCGCTCCCGAATAACACAGTTTCAGGTGCCAATTCCTCCTGCAGGTTGTGCACTGGTAGCAACCAGCAACGGCTGGTGGCTGGCCCAGTCAACAACAGGTAGCTGGGAAAGCCCTCGTGAGAGCTAAGCATGAGGAACTTGAGAATGAGGGTCCTGGTGTATCTGGGAGCCAATCTGGCTCTGTTCATGCCCAGGGATCCACCCCAGACTGGCCATGTGCAAGGCAAGTGCCTTACCTGCTGTCTCTCTTTCCAGCCTGAGACCAAGTTCTGTAGAAGTTTTGGGGGAGTCAAAAGTTACAGCTAGTCAAAAGTTTACTGGGCTTGATTCTCCCCATCTATGAAAAGAAAAGTTAGGAGCGACAATTCAGGGGTTAAGGCACTTACCTTGCATCCCACTGCATTCAACCCCCAGCACTGCATTGGACCCAAGGACCACAAGGGATCACTCCTGAGCAAAACCTGAGCACCACTAGATGTGACCCCAAAACTCCTGACAAAAACCAAGTTACAGGGGCTGGAGCAATAGCAGAGTCAGTAGGGCACATGCCTTGCGAAGAACTGACCCAGATTGGATGCCCAGCACTATGTATGGTCTCCGAAGCCCCACAAGGGATGATCCCTAAGTACAGAGCCAGGAGTCAGCCCTGAGCATCACTGGACGTGGCCCCCAAACAAACAAAGTCAAGTTACAGGTAGATTTTCAACTGCTTGGGGAGGTGGGGTTGCTCCAACCCTCCAGATCAAAAGTCAACTATATTTTTAAAATTAGGGGGTGGCCACACCCAGTGTGCTCAAAGCTTACTCCTGGCTCTGCACTCACAGATTACTGCTGGTGGTCTCAGGGGACCACAGGGAGTTCTGGGGACCCTTGTCAGCTGTGTGCAAGGTGACAAGCTCACAAGCCATACCAGATGTATGATCTCTCCAGCCCCTGTATTTTAAATCTTTTATTCCTTTGGGTGTAAATGTTATCGCAACACAAAAATATTAACATAGATAAGTTTCCAAAACTTCAAGCTGTAGGGCCAGAGATACTATAGGATTTGCCTTGCACACCAACCTCTGGCACTACATCTGGTCCCTTAAACCCCAGGAGGGTTTAAATCCCAGCTACCCGCTACTGACTGGGTCAGCCACCAGCAGTGGCTGGTTGCTGCCAGTGCACAACCTTCGGGAGGGATCGGCGCCTGAAACCTCAGCTCCCTGAGCTCAGAGCCAGGAGTTTAAGCCCTGAACACCACCAGGTGTGGACCAAAAATACCAAAAAAAAAATTCTTCATGTCGGAGTCAGGATATAGCTCAAAGGGTTGGTGCAGAGCCACCTCAAACCTAGGTGTCACCCAAGCCCTATCGCCCCAATTCTACAAGCTGTAGCTACAGTGAACATTCCTGAGTGTATGCTACATGTCAATAAACAATCTGAACTGAGCTACTGAGCCCTTGGATGCCTGAGTGTCGGCCCTGGTTCCTCTGGCTCAGTTGCTCCACAGACCACACGCGCACTGTATTCTTTTTCTCACACTCAGTAACTTCTAAATTCCAAAACCCATCCGGCACTGGGGCTGTCGGCAGGGCGGGCCGACGGCACCCGGAGTCTTCCTCCCGTGAACAGGGGGCTGGATGACACCGCAGCACCACCCTGCATCGGTCCAGAAAAGGGGACGGCTGGGGCGTCAGTCGCGGTGCTTGCACCACAAACCGTCGTTATCAGGGTGGGCAGGGGCTCGAACCCGAAGCCCGCGGAAAACAAACACGGGCCCCTCGCAGCGTGCTCAGGGGACCCCGCCCTCCGCGGCCGCTCCCACCTTCCCGGGGAAGAAGCCCCCACAGCAACGCGGCGGGGCCGGGTGCGCCTGTGCCGGCCCAGGCCGCCGACGCCCGCCCACTTTCCTCACGGTCTCGACCCCCCGGCAGGGCCGCGCTCCGCTCGCGGCTGACAGGGCCGGGACTCACCGGGTCGCCGGGCGGGAGGCGCGCGGCGGCGCACAGGCAGGGTGCGGGCCGTCCGCGCCGGGACCCCAGGGCGCGGCGGCGCCCCGGGCCCCTCAGGAACTTCCCGGCCCACAGCGGCCCCTGCGGCCTCCGCCTCGGGGCAGCCGCCCCGCGCTCCACCTCGGAGCCCAGCGGCTCGCGTCGCCGGTCCCCGCCCCCGAACGGACACGCCGCCCACAGCCACAGCTGCCCCAGCGTTCCCAGAGCCGCCTTCAGGTATCGGCGCCGGAAGTCATCGCGGAGCTCGCCGGGAAGGCGCGGCGCATGCGCACGGTAGGCGCTCGAAACTACACCTCCCAGGGGGCCTTTCGTCTGGTGGGCACGCCCCCTCACTGACAAGTGGCCAATGAGCAGAGAGCGTTCTTAGGGCTAGCCAATCGAAGGTAGAGACGCCGTGCCCGTCACGGGCTGGGGTCTGCATCTGGGCTCTCGAGGCCCTCCGCCTACTCGGCTTCTCCTACGTTTTTCGTACTTCTCTGGCCACTAGGGGAGAGACGGGGCCGCCGAGAACGCCTAGTGGGAAGAGACAGAGAGAAATCGGCTGAAGGGGACCGGAACGAAAGTACAGCAAGTAGGGCTCTTGTCATGCACGCGACCGACCTTGGTTAGATCTCTGGCACCCCATGTAGTTCTTTGAGCATCGCCAGGAGCGATCCCTGAGCACAGAGCCAGGAGTAAAACCCTGAACACCGCCTGGTGTGGCCCAAAAATCAAAAAGGAACAAAAAAAATTTGCTGATGCAAAAATTGCTGGAGAGCATGAGCCTGGACTGTCCTGAACTGCTGAAATATGTGCTCCCTTCCCGCTCCATTTGCCCACTCTTTCACTCGAACTCCATTATCTATTGGCCCCAGAAAAGAAGGAACTTGAAAATCGCTTTTTCTAGCTCTGAGTTTACCGTGTTCTTCAAACGCCCTCTACTGGCAAAGATTAACATCAACGGTGTTAACAAAAGTTTAATAGGTCCATGCTGGACAAAAAGGTAAGTAGAGAGTCCAGTTAACGTCTGGCACACCCACAGATGTGTAGGACGTTTGCCTTGCATGTGCCCCACCCGGGTTCAATCTGTGGCATCCCATAGATTGAATCCCACCCCAAGCACAGCCAGGTTTGATTCCTGAGTGCAGAGTCAGTGACCCAAAAGCTCAATAAACATAAAAATAGAGTAAAGGTAGGGGCTAGAGAGATAGGTAGGTACACTTGCCTTACACAGGATTCTCTCCCTGGCACCCCATATTGTCCCCGGAGCCCACCCAGAAGTGACTCCTGGTCGCAGAGGCAGAAGTAAGCCCTGTTGGGTGTGCCCCCCACCTCCCCACAAAGAAAAAAAAGAAAGCAAATATTTCCAGATTCTTCGAAGGCCAAGTGAGACAGTGGTGTGCTAGAGAGCGATGGGCCGCTTACAACCACATATATCTGCTTACCGAGCTTTTTCATTAGGTACGTAAAAATATCTATTTTTGTAATTTATAGAGTATGGGGTACTCAGAATTTGCCTTCTTCATTAAATTATTTTTTTGTTTGGGGTTTTTTGGGGTTTTTTTGGGGGGTCACACCCGGCGATGCTCAGGGGTTACTCCTAGCTCTGCACTCAGGAATTATTCCTGGTGGTACTCAGAGGACCATATGGGATGCTGGGAATCGAACCCGGGTTGGCCGCATGTGACTGCTTGCAAGGCAAACGCCCCACCCACTGTGCCATTGCTCCAGCCCTCTTCATTAAATTCTGAGGGCTTTTTTTTTTTTTGCTTTTTTTTGGGGGGGGAGGTCACACCCGGCATTGCACAGGAGTTTCTCCTGGCTCATGCACTCAGGAATTACTCCTGGCGGTATTTGTGGGACCATATGGGATGCTGGAAATCGAACCTGGGTCAGCCACCTGCAATCTGAGGGCTCTTTATTTTCTACAGAAATTTCATTTTGCAATATCAGATTTACTAAGATAACCTCTAGCTCTTCCCCTTCTACAAGACACAGAGGAGAAACCTGAGGTCCTGGCCCTTCACTGGATACTACTTCCGCCCCATTCCTCTTCCCTCTCTCTTTCACCAAGGATTTTACTTCTGCCCCGGGAACAGCTTCCTGACTGCGGGGCCTCCATTCTGCTCCCCTCCCCTTGCTTGGAAGGTACTTTTTTTGTTGTTCTTTTTGGGTCACACCCAGCGATACATAGGGGTTACTACTGGCTCTGTACTCAGGAATTACTCCCGGTGGTGCTCGGGGGACCCTATGGGATGCTGAGAATCAAACCAGGGTCAGCTGCGTGCAAGGCAAACGCCCTACCTGCTGTACTATCACTCCAAGTACCCACTTGGAAGGTACTTTTCCCCAATTCTTCTTAAACTGTTTCCAGTCATGGGGCTGGAGAGATAGCACAGCGGGTAGGGCGTTTGCCTTGCATGTGGCCAACCCCCGTTCAATTTCCAGCATCCCATAGGGTCCCCTGAGCACTGCCAGGAATAATTCCTGTGTGCAGAGCCAGGAGTAACCCCTGTGCATCGTCGGGTGTGACCAAAAAAAAAAAAGAAAAAAAAAACTTTCCAGTCATTCTTCAAATCTCTTTAATAGCCCCGTCCTCAAGGGCGCTTCTCTGAAAATCAGGTTCCTGACATTCTCTCCCACCTGTTCTTTCCTTCCTGCCGCTTGTCTCTACTTGAAATTAGCGTCCTTCATTTAATTGTCCCTCAGACCAGAATCTGTCTTAGACCTCAGGCCCCGCCAGGGACCGAATGTGACTAGCGCCTGGTCCATTCCCAGGTCTCCGCCTCAGCCACCAGACATTTCCCTGGGTGTGCAAAGCGGCTCTGCCCTCGGCCCGCACCCTCTCTAGGACGGCGGGAGGCTTGGTGGCAGTTCTGAGGTCGCCTCTGACGGAAGGTTCGACGCAGGAACTGACCCAGGTCAGATTCCAGGTTGTCCTTTGCTTCTGCAAGGGACCTAGGAAAAGCGAACGTTCCAAAACCCAGGGGTGTGGGGGAAGAGGCGGCACCCGGGACAGGTGCCCGTCGCGATTGGTCCGTCTTGCCTGCGTTAACCCCTCCCGAGTCCTAATTGGCTGGCGTCAGAGGAGGGCGGTCCCTGTGGGAGCTCCGTGTTCTAAGGCCTCGCACGTGCCGCGGGTTCCCAGCGTTGCGCACTGTGGGGTCCCATGAACTGCGCAGCCACGCGGAGGCGGCGGGCAGCTCCGGAGGGACCGAAAATCCCGGGGGGGGTTTAAGCCCACTCCTGTGCCACACCCCTGAGCCCCCCAAGCCCTGCGTCCCCTTCCTGACGCTCCACGGCACATCCAAGCGACCTCCACAGTTTAGTGGCTCTTGTCAGATATTTCGCACACCACCAAACTCTTATTTAAAATGTTTCCCCCTGTGGGGGAAATGTTCCGGCCAGGCCCCTCCGGGACCTGAGGTCTCTGGGTGCAGCCCAGGAAAGGGTGGACAGAAGCCTTGGGGTCACACCCTACTGCCCTCGGCCAGGAGCAGCAGTTCCTGAGCTCCTCAGAAAGCAAAGCCTTTCGGGGCTTTCCAGGCTCACCCAAGGGTGACAGCCTGAGGGGCTCCAGTCCTGAGGTGCTGGGCTGGCACTTCAGCCCAAGGAACTGTGATCAAAGCGACAGCCACTGGGCCAACGAGCGTTCCACCATGCAGGACAGTCCCGAGGTGTGGCTTCCAAACCTTTGCAGTCTCGCCTCATCTGCAAGCATGAGTGCGCTTCTCGAGTGTCCTCTCCCTGACACACAGGAAAAACCCATTTCTCTTGAGTGAACGATTCCCATCCTGGAGACTCAGGGAGAAACTGTCTCTCACATCTTTGGGAAAGTCATTAACGTGACCAGTAACCCCAGACGCCACCAAGCTCTATCTGGGGCCATTCAGCAGCCTCAGTGCTCAGCCCCCCACTGCCCAGCTAAGCCCTGTACCCCTGAAGGTCAGGCCCACTGTTTTGCTCCAGGATGACCTGCCTCAGAGTAGCACACGCTAGAGGGTCTCTTAGCGGTGCATAACAACTGTCTTTACATAAGAAGCCAGATTCTCAAAGCCGGCGCCCTGTTGTCCAGTTTGACTAGGTTATTGGACCTTCTCAGTCAAACCCACTGCTCCATCATGGAGAAAGGAGACACACTGGCCCCGGGCCTGGCTGAGCAGTTGCTCAGGGACCAGCCGTGACTATAACAGGTCACTACGGCTGCTATTCTTGGTTCCTGGACCTCCTGCTCCAGCCACTGGACTCTCAGGAGCACGGAGCAACCACAGCCCCACCGCTACAGGTCAGGGTCTTCACCCCACATCCCGCATTTGTTTTTGGTTTCAATCTGTTACCTTCAAAACTGCAACTCAGGATAAATGCAGAATGTAAAATACAAATAAAAAACTTTGAAAGGTAGAATGAACCACATCCTGCCACCTCCTGGGAATAAAAAGGCAAGAAGAGGAGATGGAGACGACAGGTCGAACCAGGAACTGGGGCAAGGTTCTCGATCGTGGGACAAATGTCAATTCCCAGCATGGCATGATCCCCCCAATCACCCCGGGGAGCAACCCCCAGCACTTGGGTGTTGCCTCCCAAAAGGAAACCAAGACCCAAGCAGTCAGCCAGGTATCTGGGGGACAAGTTATAGACAAATTGGTAAGACACCGGAGGTGAGAAGTTGCCGGGGAGCTGGGAGCGACCTCCAAAGGAACCCGGGGTGGTGACCCGTGGGAGTGAGGACGCCTCCCTGGTGACAGAGTCCATCGCGAAACCCAGCCCCTGGGCCTGGGATAAGAGTGGGGTGGGCAGCAGACGATGAGAGCAAACTTTCCCAGGGGAAAGGCAGGGAGGGGCAGGCCCCTGTGGACCTGTCCTAGGGGCACAGTGCCCACGGGATGACCGTGCCAGGCAGCTGCTGAGGACACACTGCTTCCTGGGTGGTGGATGACTTTGCCTGTACATTTAGGGCGCTGCCGCCCGGCTATGGGCCTCAAGCCGGGTCACAGGAGACAGCCAGCCAGAGGCACGACTTCCAGGGCCTTTAATCAGCAGCCAGAGAGCCGGGGCCCTCCCCTCGCCCCCTCCCCGCCCCCTTCCCCGCCTCCCCCCAGCCCAGTGCTCCTGCCCATCCCGCCCCGCTCCTCAGGTGGGGGCGGGGGCGGCGCCCAGCACCAGCACGGCCAGCGCCTTGGGCCCCGCGCCGTGGGTCTTCTCGTGCCGGTGCAGGTTGGAGCGGCGGCTGAAGCTCTTGGCGCAGCGCGGGCACGAGTAGGGCCGCACGCCGCGGTGCGTGCGCTGGTGCGCCGTGAGGTGCGAGCTGTGGCTGAAGCGCTGGCCGCAGTCGGCGCAGGCGTAGGGCTTCTCGCCCGTGTGCGTGCGCTGGTGCGCCAGGAGGTTGGAGCGCTGGCTGAAGCACTTGCCGCACTCGGGGCACGGGTAGGGCTTGGCGCCCGTGTGCGTGCGCTGGTGCGTGACGAGCGCCGAGCTCTGCGTGAAGCGCTTGCCGCACGCGGGGCACTGGTGGGGCTTGGCGCCCGTGTGCGTGCCCGTGTGCGTGACCAGGTCCGAGCGGCGCGCGAAGCGCTTGGCGCAGCGCTCGCACGCGTAGGGCTTCTCGCCCGTGTGGATGCGCTGGTGCTGGATGAGCGTCGAGTGGTGGCTGAAGCTCTTCCAGCAGGCGCGGCACGTGTAGGGCTTCTCGCCCGTGTGGATGATCTGGTGCTGCAGCAGGTGTGAGCTGCGGCCGAAGCGCTTGCCACAGTCCGTGCACGCGTAGGGCTTCTCGCCCGTGTGCGTGCGCCGGTGCGTGACCAGGTGCGAGTGCCAGCTGAACGCCTTCCCGCACTGATCACAGCGGTACGTCTTCCGGCCCGTGTCCCCATCGGGGGCCTCTCCGCAGCCCTCGGGGGCACCGGGTCCCTCAGGGCGGCCTGTGTCCGGCGTCCCGGTCTGTGGCAAGGCCCAGCAGGGCAGCCTCTCCTCTTCCGGGGAGCCCCCTGCCCTACTCCTGACGGCCTTCGCCTCCTCAGGGGCGGCCGGGGAGTGGAGGGGCTCCTCCCTGCCCATCTGCGGAGTTCCTGGAGAAAGAGGTATTAGGGAGGGTATTTTAGGGACAAGCCAGGACAGGCCAGGACCCCCGGAGGCCCATAAGTTAGTGTCACCCTCTGCAGAGTGTGGAAGGGCCAGTGTCTGTACCCACAGAAGTAGGCGCGCTGGCAGACCCCTACCCAGGGTTCCCCCACACTCATACGGATGCAGCCCACATGAGCATGAGGCCTCGGCTTTAAGGCAAGCCTGGGGAGACACCCGCCAAGCTGCTCAAGCCAGGTGAGTCAGAATCACCTGGAGGTGCTCCATGGTGAGGTGATATCCCAGCCATGGGTGCAAAATTTGGGGGGGGGGATTGGGATGTGGTCTTGGAGCTTTGGATTTTAAGCCACACCCTGCAAAACTCAGGGATCATTCCTGGCAGGCCTTGGGGGACCATATTGCGGTACTGGGGGTAGATCAGCTACAGATAAGGCCAGAGTCCTAACCCCCTGTAATATCTCTCCAACCCCGAATGTATCTATTTATTCATTTATTTTGGTGTGTTGGGGTGTAGGTCACACTCGAGCATATGGGATGCCGGTGACCAAACCTGGGTCAGCTGCATACAAGGCAAATGCCCTCCCTGCTATACTATCCCTCGGGTAGGCCCTGATTTCTTCTTTTTTTTAAAAAAAAAAAAAAAAAAACCTTTTTTACCGCCTGCTCCCCTTTGGCAGCTCAGTGGCCACAATCCTCCAGAGGCCACTGGACAGTCAGGTTTGGGCCCTCAGTGACGAGACACGCGGGGCCTCATGAGATGGGGGTGGAGCCGGCCCTTTCCTCCCCACCCCAATAAGACCCTGAGTCGCCGCCCATTTCTGGTTCCTGATCAAGCTGCTTAACGACCATGATCCCAGAGACTCAGGAACAAATCTCGGAACCCAGCAGATTTTGGCAAAAATCCCTCCAGATTTAAGTGTTAAAATTTCGGAATTTCAAAATCATGCGGCCACTACTGCAGCCATGCGACATCATGTGTTATTCTTAACCAGCAATAGAAAACAAATTGTCTGCTGTTGCTTTTCAGCAGATCTGAGTGTTGGGATAAGATCCCAAATAATAATGGTGGGTCTGGTGTCAAATATTGAATGTGATCAAAGTAGAGAGAGAGTAATGTGGAAACCATCTGCCCCACAGGTAGGGGGAAGGGTGGGATGGGGGTATACTGGGGTTTTTGGTGGTGGAGAATGGGCACTGGTGAAGGTACGGGTGTTTCACTGTATGACCGAGACTTAAACCCGAAAGCTTTGTAACTGCTCTCACGGTGATTCAACATAAAATTATAAAAAATGAAAAAAAAAAGGTAAGGTGGAGTTCATGCCCAATTCAATCAGCTAATCAGTGGCTGAATAAATAGCAGTATTCCTACATTAAAAAATAAAAATAAATTTACGGGGCTGGAGAGATAGCACAGCGGGTAGGGCATTTGCCTTGCATGCAGCCGACCCGGGTTCAATTCCCAGCAACCCATATGGTCCCCTGAGCACCGCCAGGAGAACTCCTGAGTGCAGAGCCAGGAGTAACCCCTTGCATCACCAGGTGTGACCCCCCCAAGAAAAAAGGAAAATAAAAATAAAAATAAATTTAAGATTTTTTTAAATTTGAATCCATGATAGAACATTACAAAGCTGTTCATAATTGCACTTCAGTCACACAATGATCTAGTGCCCATCCCTCCACCAGTGCAAATTTCCCACCACCATCCCCCAACCCCTCACCCCCTATCCCCAACCTCCCTCTATAAAAGGAACTTTCCTTCTTGCTCTCTCTCTCTCTCTCTCTCTCTCTCTCTCTCTCTCTCTCTCTCTCTCTCCTTTTCCTTTTATGCATTATAGTTTGCAATACAGGTTCTAAGAGCTCATGGTGTTTGTTCAGGGCACTCAGTATTTTTATCGAGGCCCTAATTTCTTCATGCAATTCTCTTTTTTTCCCTTTGTTTTTGGGCCACACCCTGTGGTGCTCAGGGCTGACTCCGGAGTTCACAGAACACTCCTGGTGGGCTCCAAGGACCATATGGGGTCCCCGGGTGCAAGGCAAACGCCCTACCCCTGTACTATCGCTCAGTCCCCTCTCTTTTATTTTCTAAATAAATCTTTTATTTCCTTTGGTTTTGGGGTCACATCCTGCACACTCAGAAGTGCCCCCCAGTGGTGTTCAGGGGAGCCTATGAGGTGCCAGGGTCAAGGTCAGGTTGTACGAATGCAGGCAAAGTGCCTTCCGCCGCTATACTATGTCTCCCACCCCCAAACTTTTTTACTTTTGAAAGGAGTGTGTCCTCAGCCAGCTGGAGACCTGAGACAGATCCCCGACCTGCTGACACCACACGGCCCCAGTGGGCTACCAGCTCATGGCTCCTGACCAGCAGGGACATGGCACCGCCATCGCCAGGAAGGTTCCAGAGCGAGCGGAGCCCGGGAGCCTGTGGTCATTACCCAAGGCCAGCACACTCTGCCGCTGCTGCGTGTGGTCCAGCCGCCCCCACTCCTCCCGGGACAGGTACAGCGCCACATCCTCGAAGGTCACCGGCATCTGAAAGCAGAGGGGAGGCTGCGTTGGGACACGGTGAGGGAGATGCAGCAGCAGGGCCAGGCCCCCCATACGCGACCCCCACACCCACCTGCGACCAGGCGGTGAGCAGAGCCGCAGCCATCTGCCGGTCCTGGGTCCTGCCCTGGCGGGAAAGCGCAGGGCCTGCAGGGGGAGAGAGGTCCTCAGGGTGCCACCTCCCCCAGGACCCCCATGCAGATCTCACCACCAGCCCCCGGCCCCCACACCTCCGCCGGGCAGGAAGGGGGCTTTCTCCTCGGAGCCCCGTGCTCCCTGGGCCCCTTCCTCCTGCGACACTCGTGCAGGGGGCAGCTCCTCCAGCTCGTTCTTGATGAGCCGAGACTCCGGGGTGACTCCTGGCTCCTCGCCCTCCGGGAGATTTTCCGGGCTAGGTGGCCCACCACCTGCAGCCTGGGGACACAGCACCGGGGTATCAGGTGTATGTGGGGGAGAACGACTCCTCCCCCAGCGCCCCAGTGCAAGCCACAGAGTCTCCCGCATTCCCTCTGCCCAGGCCCCTGGTCCCAAGGCAGATCGTTAATACAGGAGAAAACGGCATGCAGCGTGCCCATCCCCCTGCCTGCCCCTGCATGTCTAGCCATGCCATCAGCTAAGGGCCATCCTGGCTGGAAGAGTGGACATATGAGGGTCACTCACAACCGAGAGGGGAACAGATGAAGAACAAACACAGCCAAGGGGCCTCATTTCTAGAAGACCAGCGAGGCCTGGTATGGCCTGAGGTGTCTGCAGCCAGCTCAGCGTTGGTATGAGAGAAAAAGGCCCCTAGAGCGAGGCCTGCTGCCCACCTGGGTTCAGCCCACAAGGCCACATGCAGTCCTCAGCCCCAGCCCTCTCGGGAAGGGGAAACCGAGTCTGAGCCACGCTGGACCCCACAAGCCTCAGAAGCCTTGCAGGAGCCAGTAGCTCACCCTGGAGCACCCCCAGGAGCTCCTCACCCCACAGCACAGGGACTGGGGTCTGCAGGGAAGTCATGGCCCCCCAATGCTGGGCTCGTAGGGAAAGAACCAAGGGCGGCGCTGCTCCCGCACAGGCGACAGGCAAGTGTCCTCAGCTAAGCGCAGAGCGCGCAGGCATCACCCCTGCAGCTGAGCGGAGGAGTCACGGCTGTGGAGGAAGTGGCTGACTCCGGGGGACTCAGAGCCAAAGGGCGAACTTCTTCCTCCTCACTCTCAGGCTGCCCAGCACCTGCCCTGCACCCTCCTCCGGGCTCCAGGTGCCCAGGCCACGGCAGGGCACAGGCAGTGCAGAGGCAGAGAATGAGGTGCCACCGTCTGTCCAGGCTCTGTCCCCCAACCTGAGTGCAAACGTCACTGCTGGCTGTCCCTGCTCTGCAGCCTCTGGGCCATCCCTCTGGAACTCACCAAAGCCAAGCAGTTCCCTAGAAAGCACCCGCCAACACCCCCTTCAACCTGTCTACCAGCCCTGTGCCCCCCATGAGTGCAAATCTACCACTGGCCCAGGCGCCCCCTGGAACCCCTCCCCTGCTACATGGCACTGCAGTCACCCCCCCCCCCCCACGACATACCTGTGGTAAGGCGCCCTGGTCCCGGGCGGCCCATGTACCTCTGCTGCCCGCAGACATCTCTCTGCGCCGGGAGGCACGGCTGAAGGGCCGTAGGATGGAGCCGCACCAGCACTTGCCTGGCACACAGCAGGCTCCGGTCGGGTCCCTAGCACCACACACCAGGTGATCCCTGAGCACAGCTGGGGGAGGCCCAAGTCCCAAATTAAATTTTTCCACCCCTCAAATTTATTTATTTATTTATTTATTTAGGGATTTTACTGGAGGTTTTTGGAAGGGGAGGACGGAGGGAGAGAGTAACATGCTGGAGAGACAACACTGGCTTCTCCGAGGGCAGAGAGAGCCCTTCCACACACAGCTTCAGATATGGAAGCATGGAAGTACCCATCGCCACACGGGCTGGGTGCCACCTCGAGGTCGCAAGCAGCACTTGGGCCGGGGCAGCAAAGGCGCCAACACCCCTCACATTGAAATGAGAAAAGAAAAGCACTCGAGGACTCCAGGCTTCTGGCCGGCAACAGCAAACGTTTCCCGGACACCTTTCCTGCCGCGGGTGCCCTAGACCTCCCTGGCCCCATCAGAAAGAAATTTCTGCCCAGGCACCAGCCCGAGCCCTGGCACGACCCGGCCGTGCCCCGCCCCTGCCCTCCGCCCTACGGCTGCTGCATCTGGTTCGGGGCAGAATCTCCCGCCACCCCGGACCAGCGGCGGGCAGAGGAGCTGCAGGGCAGGAGCTCGGGGCGCTGCCCGCCAGGAACGGGGTCCCCGCCCCCGGCCCCGCCCCCGCCTGCCCACCTTGGCACCGGCGCCCCGCGGGCTCGGTGGCCGCCCCGGCACCCTGTCACCTGGGGGAGGCCAGCGGACGACCCTCCCCCAGGAAGGGATGCTGCAGCCGGCAGGGGCGGGGGCCGGGCGGCGACGGGGACGCGGCCAGCAGGAAGTCCGTCCGGATCCCGGTCCCCCTGCCGCCGCCGCCCCACAGTCCCCGGCCTCGGAGTTCCGGGCGGCCACTCCGCCCAGCCCAGCCGGGACCCTGGTGGGCAGTCGCCTCCTGCACTGTCGGCCGGTGCCAGCCGCCTTCCAAGGGCCAGGGGCACTTTGCGGAAGGGTTGGGGGTGTGCCTGTCCCTTTCGGCCCCTGAGGACGCGCTGAGCTGACCCCCAAGTCCTGTGGGTCGGGCTGCCCCATGCGCTGAGACCCGCTTGGAGCTTTGTCTCCCTGGGGGGGGGGGGCTCAGGAAGTGCCTGGGAATTCCCTCACCCATTTCTCCAGAGCCACGCCTGAGGTGGGGAACGGCTTCTGGCCCCTGGACCCTCATCTGCCATTTCCTGCCTTCCACTGCCCCCAAATTGGGGTACAGAGATGGCTCTTGACTTACTGGAGCAAGATACCCATTTCTCCTGGGCAGGGCATGGTGTGTGTGTGTGTGTGTGTGTGTGTGTGTGTGTCTATGTGAGTTTGTGAGCACAGACCTGTATGTTTGTGCATGCACATATGTAAGAGCCCTGTGTGTGTGTGTGTGTGTGTGTGTGTGTGTGTGTGTGTGTGCGCGCGCGTGTCTGTCCAGAAAGGGGCAGAGGAGTCAGATTCCAGGAGCAGCCCCCAGTTCACTGAGACGCACCCACCTCACGGCGCCAGGTGCGCACTTACAGCTTCCATGCTAACCAAAAAACAGTTCCCATCATTTGGAAGTTAAATTTTCATAAAAATCCGTTTCCTTGAAAAACTAGACTATCTGGTCACACTGGACCCTCGTTCCTGACATTTGTCCCCACTGGGGTCTGCAGCCGTTTCAATCTGCAGTTCCTCTTGCAGAGTCCAATGGGTGCTACCAGAGCGCTGGACACTGGATGGGGTCTATCGCCAGGGGCACAAAGGAAAACTGGGCTTGACCAGGTGCTGGGCTATCGTCGCTTTCCCCAGGCTTTTAGTCGTCCGGGTAAAGAGGGTTACAAGGCGGCACAGACAATCCTGCCTCCAAACTCTGCAGAGCGGACTGCGGCCTCTGAGGCCACCAGGCACCTGGAATGGTGAGCTGCTCCCTCAGCAGCCCTCGGTCCAGCGCGGAAGAACACGTCAGCACCCAGAGGCAGGGAACCCACCCTGAGCTGGGTCTTTCCCCAGCAGACGCTCTGGGCCCCCTGGGGAGCTGAGTCCTGACTACCAAACCCCCCTCGGATCCATTCTGGGAGCACTGGCACCGAGCCTGGCGCAGGAAGGCACTCGGACACAGGTAGCTCTCCGAGAAGGGCGCTCCTGAGAACGACCCCCCCAGGCCGAGGTGTCCTGAGCCACAGCAAGACGTGGATCAAGGTCACGCGTGGCTGACCCCAAGTCAGTCCTGATCCACCTTAGAGAAGCCTGACAGCTGGCAAGAGGAAGAGCATCCAAAGGGATAAAAGCTAGAAACAAAATGACAATCAGTAAGAAAAGAAGACTGGCTAAGCCGTTTGGAGTCACAGCTAGGCAGAGATCCAGGTTTAGAAACAAAGACGCAGAAATAAAGAAACGTGGGCGAGGGGGAGGAAAACAGCAAGAACGGAATGCTAACGGAGCCGAGCAGACGTTAATCGAGCAGACGTTAATCGTTGAAAGGGAAGAGGAAGCCGGTGTGTCGAGTAGCTGGGAGCCGCGGGAATAGAAACCTCTGCAAGAATAAAAAAGGCTAAGGACCCCCCGAACGCTGAACCGGGTCTGGGAGCTCACCCCGAGCCCCCGCGTGGGAAGCAGCTGAGAGGGAGGGTCCCCCTTCTCCAGGCTCAAGAGCTCCTGCGGGTACCACAGCTCCGCAACCCAAACTCCGGCGGGGAGCCGTTGCCGAGGCAACGACGCGACCCCGCCCCCGGGCCTGGGAAAACATGGGGATTGGCTGTGGGCCGGAGGCCACGCCCACTCCCGACCGCCCCGCCCCTCCCGGCGCGCTCCCTCCGGAGCGGGGAGACGCCCCCAGCCGAGAGCCCAGGGACTCGGGCCGCGGACTCGGGCCGGTGTGCCCGTGATTCCCGTCCGGCTCCATCCGGGTTGCCCGCTGGGGCGGGCGGCATCCGGGAGATGGGAGTCGCTGTGCGGATGCCCCCTACCCCTCGAGCCGGCTGCCCTGTAGGGAAGCAGCGGCTCCGGGGTCCCGATGTCCCGGGACAAGGTCCCCGCACGCTCACCTGTGCGCCCAGGGCTCCTACCACGGACCTGCCCGCGCGCGGCCGGGAGCTTGTCAGATGCCCTCGGGAGGGAGGGAGGCCGCGCCTGGAAGAGACGCCACCGTGTTTGCGAGCAGAGGGGAAGCGCTTCCCTGCCCGCTGCCCGGAGCGGGCGATGGGGGGCAGGGCGAAGAGCGGACCCCGGAACTGGGAGGTGGAGCTGGGCGCCGCCCTCCACGCCGCACCTCTGGCCGCTTCTTACAGTTGGACGGAGGACACCGGCCGGAGGCGCTGGCCACACTCCTCCTAGCAGCCCGGAGTTCCCTCAGACAGGCGTCACCCTAGAGACACTTCTTCAGGTGTTGCCTTGCTTTCTTTAGGGGCATGGGGTGTCACTCCTTGGGGAGCGACGCTTTGGGGACCAGTGCGGCTGGATTGAATCCGGGGGTCCTGCATGCAAATCATGTGCACCAGCCCTGTCTTTGCTGAGGTAGCAGTGAGCTGGAGTCACATATGCTTGGTGACCACATATGCTTGCTGGTGGCACTCTATGTGGTACCAGCTGATGGGAAGCGCGGGGCCAAGTGGGTAGACCTGGCTTCCTGGGAGCCAGCCAGTGAGTTAAGAGGTGTTTACCCCGGGACCCCCAGGAAGACCTCTTAGTCTTTTATTGGGGTCACATCTGGCTCTGTGCTCTGGGATCACTCCTGGTGGGGCTCGGGGGACTGAAGAGCTGGGGATTGAACTCGCTTTGGGCTGAGGCACGCAAGGCCTTACTATCCCTGGCTCCACCTCGAACCTTTTTTTCAGCCTAACCTCCGAACTGGCGCTCCTCACTGCTGCTGGATTCTGACCCTTAGAAGTGAAATCGCGCGGGTAAGCTAACCGTACTGGGGGGAGCACAATGCTCGTATGAGGGGGGTCCCAGAGGCCAGCACTAGAGCACTCGGCACCCCCAGGTCCTGCAGGCAGCGACACTTACTGGCCAGGTGAAAGAAGAGAAGTTGGTAAAAAGTACGTAACTGGAGAGATAGAGAAAGCAAAAGAATGTGTATCCCAGGCGCCCTGAGTTGTAAGGAAGACAAAATCCGATCCATCCTGGGGTCAAGCTGAAAGCAGCAAAGCACCAACCTGGGCCGGTGGAGGACACAGAGATAAGTCAGCAGGGCAGGGGCCTGCTCAGAGGGGAAAAGGCCCCCACAGAGGCTCAGGTCTGAGAAAGGAGAAACCTGCCAAGCACGGGCGTGGAGCGCACCCCCGGCCAGTCTCCAAGGTGGGCTCAGAGGGTGCGTTTGGGGGTGGAAAGGCACAAAGAGAAAGAGAAGGCGGAAGGAGAAAAAGAAGGTGGGCAGAGAACGAAAGGAGAAGGCGGAAGCAGAGACCTGATGGAGGAAGTCCTGAGCACCTCTGGGTACAGCCTCCAAAGAAAAAGTCCCCTGGAGGCATGCTGGGGACAGCACCTTTACTGACCCTCCGCTTCTGGTGCAGAACACCCTGAGAGGTTTCCGAGTCTTGGGGAGAATTTGAAGGCAATTAAAGCTTCCTCAAGCTCCTTTTCCTGCAAAGTATCTTGATTCTATTTCGTTTGTTTGATTTTGGTTTGGGGAGGCCATGCCCTGCAGTGTTATTCTGCACTCAGAAATTAACTCCTGGTGATGGGGACCAGATGGCATGCTGGGGATTGAACTCAAGCTAGCCACGTGCAAGGCCAGCGCCCTACCCACTGCACTGCACTATCTCCCCAAAGCTTTGTATGCTCTGGGTACAGCATGGACCCTTGCACCACCTTGCACAAAGCGCTACTGGGTGTGGCCCCAGAGCAAGGAAAGAAAGTGAAAAGGAATCCAGGTATGGGGGACTGGGTCCAGCCAGGACCAGACTAAGCAGGCTCTGGCCCACCCCTCAGCACCTCCCGCTGGGCTTCCCGACTGCTCTTACCTCCCAGACTCACCCGCCCAATCGGCTGGGTGCAGGCTCTGCTCAGCCACCACCGGCCGCCTCCCGCCCCCACCCAGGCAGGCGCAAGCAGAGTCCTGGGGCAGAGCGCCTGTGCCCAGCTAGGCTCAGGCCTAGAGGAGCTGGAGGACTCTCTCATCCCCACCAGGAGTCCTCCTTGAGCACAGCCGGGTGTGGCAGAGCGAAGGGGAGAAGGAGGGAGAAAGAAACAAAAGAATGAGAGCAAAGGCACTGGGCTGGGCTCTACTCCCAAGCACCGCCTCCTCCAGGTGGGCTCCAGGGCCATATGGGACTTGGAGGACTAAAGCCGAGTCAGCCCCGTGCCAGGCAAACACCCTCCCCGTGGAACTGACAGAGACCACGCGAGGGCGGAGAGCAGGGCAGAGGGAGCCGTACTCCATGCAGGGGGAGGCGGCATCTCTAGCCCGTCTTGGCGACTCCACACACCTTATGGGGTCCCAGAGTTTCCTCCTGTTACCTCAGGGGGTGGTAACTGCTCGGGGTTTACTCTTGGCTCGGTGCTCTGGGATCACATACGGGATGCCGGAGATCGAACCCCGGTTGGCTGTGTGCAAGGCAAGTCCCCACCCACTATGGAGCTATGGCTCCAGCCCCTCCCCCAGCTGTCATTTTTTAAATGACATTTCCATGTAAAGGGTTCAGGGTTTGATCCCCAGCAACCCCTCCAAAAATAACAGCTGCTCTGTTCCCCAAAACATGCGGGCTGACCAATTCCCCGTCAGGTACAGGACCTGACCCCAGGCTCTCCCGCGGCTGGATCGGATTAACCACTTAGGACCTAGGCCCGCCCTCTGCTCCCCTCATTGGCTCCTGGGAGGCTAAGGGTTAACTAGGTGAGGGCTCTGCGCCCCCTCCTCACCTGCAGGCTCCAACAGGGATTTCCTGTCCCATTTTCCCTGAGCCGTCCTTAGGTTGGCCTCTCTGCCTGGCCCGGACTCCTCGGCCTACGTCCGAGCACCCCTGCCTCTTTCTTGGGGACCCCGCCGGTGAGTTGCAGGGGACTCTGGGGGCAGCTGCCGGGATATACACCGGGGCTCAGAGCAGCTTGGAGAGAGAAAGGGGCGCCGGACTTTACAGTGGGGTTGGGGGTGAGGGGCTGGGAGGGTATCTTGGGGAGTCAGGGTGGTCTACGCCAGGGTCCAGTGCCAGGCAGCTCAGCTGACCTGTGATGCCGGGGCACCCAGGAGGCTTGGGACTTCCTGTGACATGGGCCCCCTGCACGCATGGGGAAGGGCCAGCAGTCGGTATCCGGACCTAGCAGCACCCCAGGAGGGGGCCCAAGGGACAAAGCCAGCCTGCCTGCTGGGACTGGGGGAGGGGTCCCGGCCCGGGCCCCCCACTTCGGGCCTTCTGTCCTCTAGGCGGTTGCCTGGCACCACCTCCGCCCGGGCCGGCCCAGAACTCACAGCCTCCCCCACCCTCCCCCAGTCAGAGCTGGTCCAATCCGGGAGGGTGGGCCCACACCTCCCCACCCCCAACCCAGCGGCCCCCCACAGATGTGCATATTAACAGAGCTTTTGTGCCGGGACCTGGGGGGAGGGAGACTGAGCCACCGGCCCTGGGAGGTTCCGGACTGTCGAATTCGAATCCCCCATTTTCTGCGGATCATGCTGTGTTCTTCAGGTAGGAGTGGTCCGCTGGCTGGAGGGAACAGGGTCTCAACTTTGGGGGGCTTTCCTCCTCACCTAGAGTCTATCTCGGCCCCCCACCTAGAGCAAGTGGCCCTTTCTCTTTCTCTCTGTCCTCTGCTTTGCACTTGTCGATGGCAAAGGGGTGACTCCTGTGGGCTGGCACGGGGCTCGCAGCCGGGGCACAGCGGTGGAGACTCACCCAGCACCTGCTTGCTGGCCGGCAGCCAAGGCAGAGCCCTGGAGATGTGCCCGGCTGGGGAGGCGCCATTTCTGCGCCTCTGGCTTGCTTTTGCGGCCTAGACATCATGGAACCAAACTCCAATTTCCCAAACTCCTTGAAGGCACTTTCTGGGGGGTCCCCGATTCTTACGCCTCAGAGCTGGCTGAGGTGTCCCCATTACTCCTGTTACTGAGCCCACAGTCACCCCGTTAGTAAATGCTGATGCCAGGGGAGAGAGGCCAGAGTGGGGGGGGGGGGCGGACGCTTGACAACTGGGAGTATGGACCCACTTTTGGGGAGGCTGGAGAGGAGAGGGGAGGTGCTGGAGGGCGGTGGGGCGGGGCTGGGCCTGGGGCTTTGTCTTCGCTTCACTCCTCTCTCCTTCCCACCCTCCCAACCCCAGAAGGGGTCTCAGAGAACCCCCCAGGACCTATGGTACTGCTCATCCACCGGCCACTCCCCAGTTGCACACCCCGGCCAGGTGTACCTTCTTGGGGAGCTGTCTGAGTCTTGTTGTTCCTTACTGTAAAATGGGTCAGCTACAGCTGGAGCAGGGGTCAGTGTTATTGGGCAGAAACAGTGAGAGAGGCTAACCTCCCTCTAGGCAGTAGGAAGTGACGTGGGACCTGTTCATCACCTAGCCCAGGGTGTCCCTGGGTCCCCCGGGTTTGGGAGCAGCCCGTTTGTTGTCCTGAGGCTGGAGAGTCAAGCCACAGAGGTTGGAAGCTGGACTTCTATTTCCATCAAAGCTCAGGAGGCAGAGTCCAGCCTGAGAAGGGGGTGCCTCCTGAGGGTCACTCAGGACTGGAGACCCCGATGGGTGGGAATGAACCTGAGCTACTCCCCCAGGGGTAACCTGGGCTGCCCGAAAAGTTAAGAGTAGGGCCACAGACATAGCACAGCAGGAAGGGCGCCTGCCTTGCACATGGCTGACGCAGGTTCTATCCCCCACATACCATGTGGTACCCCAGGAGTAAGTAAGCCCTGAGCCCAGCCTGGTGTGACCCCAAACAAAAATCAGACGCACAGAGCCCTTTGGGGTGGGCCTGGGTAAAGGGTGGTTAAGTCGCCGGATTTGAGCCCTCGCCCCCTGGTGGCGAGTTGGAAGCACTGCGGGCAGGATGATGAGTTCAGGAGCCTGTGCTGAGGCGGGAAGGGGAGGGAGGGATGGAAGGAGGGAGGGAGGGAGACGACGGCTTCTCTCTCTCTCTCTCTCTCTCTCTCTCTCTCTCTCTCTCTCTCTCTCTCTTTCGCCTATCCCGAGGGACACCCACCGAGTGGGCCGGGCCAGCTCTGGCGCGCATTGGGGACACATCTGCCTAACTCTACTGCCAGAGAGGGAGCACAGTGGGGAAGATGTTCACCTTGCGCACAGCCCGTCTGGTTCCCCCCCCCCCGCCTTCCCCTGTGCCCCCCCCCCAGCACCGCCAGGAATAACTCCTGAGGCCAGAGCCAGGAGTAACCCCTGAGCATTGCTGGGTGTGGCCAAAACAAAACAACATCAAAGACAGAACCCAGACATCAGATCCCAGGTGGCAGCTCCCAGTCTGCCACTGGACCCAGCCTGCCCAGCTCGGTGACCTGTGGCCTTCCCAGCTGAGGGAGCCAGGCCGGGAGTGCTCACAAGCACACGGAGCACTGTCCAACATCCCAAGTTTCCCAGCAGTTGGAAGCTAAGTGTCAGCAAATGTGTCGCCTGCGGCTCCCAACATCCCCACCCCCCACCATAGTGCTGTCATTTTACTCCTGTGGGCCCCTGAGAAGAACTAAAGACACTCCCTTCCTTCCAGAACAAGCTTCCTCTCCTCCCGAGCCCCGTGGTCACCCTTGCAGGCTTAGATGGGGGCCCCTCATGAGCTGGGAGACAGACAGGAAGCAGTGGGGGGGGGAGTTTCCCCTGGGATGGCAGGGTCTTTTGGGTTTGGTTCTGAACCACGCCTGGCAGTTCTCAGGGCTTACTCCTGGCTCTGTGTTCAGGGGTCTAATGTGGACTGGCCATGGGGGAGACGAGCCCTTGCGCTGTACCGTTCCTTCAGCAGGGGCCTCTCCAGATGATTCTTTCCATCACAGGTTGGGGAGCAGAGCGGGAGCGATTGGGAGCACTGGTGCAGTGAGCAGGTCCCCGCAGGATGCTGGCAGAGTCGGGACCCCCGGAGCCGGAGCCAGAGCCACAGCCACTTGGGGCTGTCAAGCTGGAGGAGGAGGAAGAGGCCGCAGGCCAGGCAGATGCTGTGCGGCCAGAGGTTAGGCCTCGGCCCGAGGTGGCCCACCAGCTCTTCCGCTGCTTCCAGTACCAGGAGGACATGGGCCCCCGGGCGTCGCTCGCCCGGCTGCGGGAGCTGTGCGGGCACTGGCTGCGCCCGGCACTGCACACCAAGCAGCAGATGTTAGAGCTGCTGGTGCTGGAGCAGTTCCTGAGCGTGCTGCCCCCTCACCTCCTGGCGCGGCTGCAGGGCCAGCAGCTCCGGGACGGGGAGGAGGTGGTGCTACTGCTGGAGGGCGTGCACAGGGACCCCGGCAATGTGGGGCCGCTGGTAAGGGCCGCTGGGTAGCCGCGGGAAGATGGGACCCTGGCGTTGGGGGGTTTGTGGGGTGGGGACCACACCAGGGATCGAACCCAGGACTTCGCGATCTATAAGACACGTGGAGTCCAAGGAGCATTTTACTTCACAGTAAGATGCCACTGGTTGTGGGGTGGGGGGCAGGAGAGACAGCACAGGGGTCGAGGCACTTGCCTTTCACGAGGCAGTTCAAACCCCAAGAGGTGGCTCAAGAGGATTGGAGGGGCTGGAGCAATAGCACAGTAGGTTGCATGCAGCCGACCCGGGTTCGATTCCCAGAATCCCATAGGGTCCCACAAGCACCACCAGGAGTAGTAATTCCTGAGTGCAGAGCCAGGAGTAACCCCTGAGCATTGCCGGGTGTGACCCAAAAGAGAAAGAAAAAGAGAGAAAAAAAGTGGAAATTGTGCTTTGCTTGGGAGTAGGCCTGGAGCCGACCCCTGGTTCTTCTGGGCCCCCGGCCTTCATCCAGAGAACCCCGAGGCCCAGAACTGCCAGTTGTGGTTCAAAAGCCAAAGCCAAACAGACTAGAATAGATGTTGGGGAGGATCCACTTTCCTCTCCTGCCTGACCCTCCCCTTCCCTCCCCTCCGCCCTGTCTGTCCTCCTCGTTCCCTTTTCTTTGTGGCACAGAGGACAGGCTTCCCACCTTACGCCCGTTAACATGAGTATTTTTAGAGTTTTTTGTTTACTTTGGTTGGGTTTTGGAGCCTCACCCAGCGATACTCAGGGGTCCCTCCTGGCTCTGCGCTCAGGGATCACTTCTGGCGGTGCTCAGGGGACAGAGAGGGTGCAGGGGATTGAGACCAGGTCGACTGCATGCAAGGCAGGCGCCCTCCCCGCTGCACTATTGCTCCGGCCCAACACGAATGTTTTTAAACAGGATTTTAGTTTTAATGCTGGCAAGAACTGTCCAGGAGTGGACAGCACTGTGGAAGAACAGGGCAAGCTTTCCCAAGGCTCTAGTCACAGCCCCAAAAAGGAAATGCTCGTGGAGGAACCCCCAGCCCCAGAGACTTGGAAGGAACCCCCAGCCCTGGAAACCTGGAAGGAACCCCCAGCTCCGCAGAGCTGGAACCCAGAGCCCTGGAGGGAACAGCCTCTTCCCCCTCCAACATGCACCTCGCAGACAGCTGAACTGGACAATTGGAGAAGTTCTCCGAGTTTAAAGCAGCCACTGAGCCCAGGGTTCCAGAGAAAGTCCCAGGCCCTGCAAGAGAGCGGTGAGGAGCGGTGCATGTGTGTGTGTGCGCACGCACGCGTGGGGGTGGGGGGTATGGCCGCTTCTCACTGTGCTTCCTTCTCCCCCGGTGCCACAGGCCTCGAGGACCCCGTGCTGTGGCAGGAGGAGAGTGCCCGGGACCAGGAGCTGGCGGCCGTGCTGGTGAGCTGCCTTCGGCCTGGGCTTCCTCCCCTGCGGGAGCCCGGCCCACCCACTGAGCTCTCTGCCCTCCTTCTCCTCCCAGGAGTCCCTGAGCTTTGACGATGTCCTGGCCAAGAAGGCGTGGGCCGTGGGCCCCGGGGGTAAGAGCCCGCCCCCGCTGGCCCCTCTGTTGTCCCCTCCTCCCAAAATGGTCCTGAAGCTTTAGGCTGTATTTGGCTTCTCAGCTTTCTTGGCTGAAAACAGACAACTTCAATGAGTTCTAAGTTCTTGTTAAAGGTACTCTGTATCTGGTCTGGTCATCAGCCAATAACTTTGAGTTATTATTATTGGTTTGGAGGTCACACGCAGCAGTGCTGGGGCTCCAAGCTCACTCCTGGCTGGGTTGGGGGACCACTCATACCACTGGGTGTCGGCAGCGTGGGGGACAGGTGCACACCCGCTGAACACTCCAGCCCCAACTTTCAGTTTTTAAAACAGGTGCTCGGGGTGGGGTAAGGGTCCAGGCGGGGGTCTCAAAGGGCTGGGGTGCCCGAGTGCTTTGCTTGGGTCGGTGGAACTGCTCCGTGCAGTCCCCAAAATGAAGTTAAGTGGCTGGTCTTGCTCATGCGCCTGGGGTCTCAATTCGAGGTGACAGAGTTCTGGAGCTGGGTGGTGGGGGGTGACCACGCGGCTGCGCGCTTTAACCAGCTGCCCGGCAAACCGCAGGTCACGGCACCTTCACGCCCTCGCTCCTGGTCAGCATTGCAGACTGCCCGTGCTCTCCGGTTCCAGCAGTGAGGTTCAGGGGGCGATGTCGGGTGCCCCTCGGAAGCCACTTAACAGCGCCTTCTGTCCCTTCCAGGCTTTGACAGCAGGGCCCCCGACGCGGAGTTGAAAGAGGAGCCCAAGGGCCTAGCCTGGCCCCCTGCCCGCCCCACGGTGGCTCCGGCCCAGAGTCCCCAGGTGCGGGAGGAGCCCCCAGCGGACCCGCCCGATCCCAAGGTGAGCAGCGCGGGGCCCGGGGGCTCCCCGTCCGGAGGAGCCGAGGGCGCCCCGAAGCGGGAGCCGGAGCTGGCCTTCCTGTGCTCCCAGTGCCAGCTGAGCTTCCCGCACCTGGCCGGGCTGGAGGAGCACCAGCTGCGCGTGCACACCGCGCCCGCCTTCCGCTGCCAGTGCTGCGGGAAGACGTTCGGCCGCAGCTCCATCCTCAAGCTGCACATGCGCACGCACACGGACGAGCGGCCGCACGCGTGCCACCTCTGCGGGCGCCGCTTCCGCCAGAGCTCGCACCTCAGCAAGCACCTGCTGACGCACGGCGGCGAGCCCGCCTTCCGCTGCGCCGAGTGCAACCAGGGCTTCCAGCGCCGCGCCAGCCTCCTGCGGCACCTGCTGGCGCACGCCCAGGCGCAGGGCGCACCCGGGGACGAGCAGCCCCGGCCCGAGGCGCCCGAGCCGGCCGTCGTGCTGTGCTCGCACTGCGGCCAGACCTTCCAGCGCCGCTCCAGCCTCAAGCGCCACCTGCGCATCCACGCCCAGGTGCAGGGCCACCAGTGCTCCGAGTGCGCGGCCAGCCTGCGCCCGGGCCCCGAGCGCCGGCCCTACGTGTGCAGCGACTGCGGCAAGGCCTTCCGGCGCAGCGAGCACCTGGGCGCGCACCGGCGCGTGCACACGGGCGAGCGGCCCTTCACCTGCCCGGTCTGCGGCCGCGGCTTCAGCCAGAGCTCGCAGCTCGTGTGCCACCAGCGCGTGCACACGGGTGAGAAGCCCTACGGCTGCCCACACTGCGGGAAGCGCTTTGTGCGGCGCGCCGGTCTGGCCCGCCACCTGCTCACGCACGGCGGCCCGCGGCCCCACCGCTGCGCGCAGTGCGGCAAGAGCTTCGGCCAGACGCAGGACCTGGCCCGCCACCGGCGCAGCCACACGGGCGAGCGGCCCTGCCGCTGCAGCGAGTGCGGCGAGGGCTTTAGCCAGAGCGCACACCTGGCGCGCCACCAGCGCATCCACACCGGGGAGAAGCCCCACGCCTGCGACACCTGCGGCCACCGCTTCCGCAACAGCTCCAACCTGGCCCGCCACCGGCGCAGCCACACAGGCGAGCGGCCCTACGGCTGCAAGACGTGCGGCCGCAGCTTCCGCCGCAAGGCGCACCTGCAGCGCCACCTGGCCACGCACAGCGGCCCTGACGACCCGGCCGCGTCCAGCCCAGCCGAGGCCCCGCAGGAGTGCCCCGAGTGCGGCAAGACCTTCAGCCGTGGCTGCAACCTGCTCCGCCACCTGCTGGTGCACACGGGCGCGCGGCCCTACTCGTGCGCGCAGTGCGGCCGCAGCTTCAGCCGCAACTCGCACCTGCTGCGCCACCTGCGCACGCATGCGCGCGAGTCCCTATACTAGCCGGGGGCGGTGGGGGGAAGACCCCACTGCCGAGCCTGGGCCCGGAGACGCTGGCCTGGGCGCCTGGCCGCCAAGGCAGGAGGTGCGATCGGGGCTGCCTGCCCATCCCGTTCCCTGCACTAGGCCTTTCCCGCCAGTACAGATTTTATTTTGTTATTTTTATTGTGGGGGCTGGAGCAGTAGCACAGCGGGTAGGGCGTTTGCCTTGCACGCGGCCCACGCGGCCGACCTGAGTTTGATTCCTCCGCCCCTCTCGGAGAGCCCGGCAAGCTACTGAGAGTATTTCGCCCGCATGGAAAAGCCTGGCAAGCTACCCATGCTGTATTTGATATGCCAAACACAGTAGCAACAGTCTCACGATGGAGATGTTACTGGGCCCGCTAGAGCAAATCGATGGACAATCGGAGGACAGTGCTACAGTGCGGTGCTATTTTTATTGTGGGGGGACATACCCAGCTGTGCTCTGGGATCGCACCTGGCAGAGGCAAGGGAACCCTTTGCGGTGCTGGGGATCCAGCTGGGACCAGGCACTGGCACGAGCCTTCGTCTCTCCCTACCTTCTCGGTTCCCACGCTCAGAAAAGACTGCAAAGGTGTCAGCAGAACCTTAGGCTGGAGTGAGGGGTCATGGACGGGGCAAGGTGGGGAACAGGGGCACCAGACCCAGGAACCTCCCTATTTACAGTCTCCAAACCTGAGGGCTGTCTTGGCCCTGTGGGGCGCAGGCTTGAAATCATGTGACTTCCAGTAAACTCAGGGAAATGACACCCTTGGCTCTGACTGCTGGTCTGTGGCTTCTCATCCACCACGACGTGTCTCATTGTGCTTCCAAAGCCACACACAAGGTCCTCTGACAAAGCTGTTGAAAGGAAGATGAGCCCAGGACCCCCCAATCCTCCCGCATGTGCAGACACCCCCCAACCGTGCAACTGTGCCTGGAGGCCAGGCTGACCCTTTAGAGGCTGAGGTCCAGGGACAGAACAGAACCCTGGAGGCTGGAGATGGCCTGGGAGGAGCTGCCTGGAGCTCAAGAGTGTGGACATGGGGGGGAGGGGTCGGAACTGAGAGGGGGCTCAGCAAGGCTCTCTGCTCATGTGCACCCCTAGAAAACAGTGCAGAGGTGCTCAGTGGGGTGCTGTGGGAACAGCATGAGGGACACTTTGCAACTGGGGCTTCAGTGGCTCCTGTGGGTGCCTCTGCCAGGATCGGGAGAGTGCAGGGACCCCAGCAAAAGTTCCAGCCCCTGGCTCCTGTCTCACATTTTGCACCCGTGGGCCCTCAGAGGGGACAGCATGAGCAGTGGTGCACCCGCCATGTCAGGCCGACACGGGATCTTCTGAGCAGGACTGCTGAGGGACCCCACAGTGCAGCAGGTGAGGAAGGGCGACCCTCCTGACATACCCATGTGTTGCGCTGTGAGCACACAAGATCAGGACCCCAAGAAGCGCTCAGGGCTAGACACCTCGTGGCTGCTTCTGGTACCGAATTCATAGAAGTGTACGAAGACTCAACTTTGTCCCCGATGTGGGTACGGGAGAGTGACAGATATCCCCACACCCCGGCACAGCCCAGTGCGCCCTCTCAGGCCCTGCGCTGTGGAAGGTGGGGTACGGCGGCACCCCCAGTTCCTGACTTCATCCTGGGTTCTTGGGGTGCTGCCTAGGGCCAGCCACTGTGGCAGGGCTTCTGCAGGGGTGCCCCTCCCCGCACCTCAGCTCTTTTTTTGAAGGGTGGGGTTGGTTATACCCGGCCATTTTCAGCAATGGCTCCTGTCTCTGCACTCAGGAATTACTCCTGGCTGTGATTGGGGTATCATGTGGGGATCGAACCGGATTGACCACATGCAAAGCAAGCGCCCTATCCGCTGTGTTTTTGCTTCGATTTCCCCCACCTCAGGTCTTGTCCAGAGGGTGCCCTGTCCACGTCCTGACTGGCACGGGGCACAGGGACACCATCTGCCCCAGGGGCTGGTCCTACCTCTGGTCCTGCAGAAGCCAGGCAGGGCACGGCCAACTGCTGGGGGCAGAAACTCCAGCCAGACACAAGTCCCGTGGTTGAGCATCTCCCCTGTGGGGACTGTCCCTCCTGCACCTTTGCCTCAGGCACTGTGATTTGCAGTGTCCACAGAGGCCATGAGGAGTGTCCTGGCATCAGCCTGTCCAGAGTGCCAGCCACCTCCAGTGCCCACGGTCACCCCATCCTCGTCCCTAGCAAGCTGGGAAACCAAGGCAGAAGACCACCCACATTTCAGAGCTCCCAGCTCCTAGGGGGTGTCTTTGTGGGCAGGGCAGGGTGGAGTACAGGGCGACCAGTGGGCTGTGCTGGGCCCAGGGGGCCCACCTGTTCACAGTCTCCAACCCCATGGGCTGCCCTGGCCTTGTGGGGTACAGACTCAAAATCATGTGACTTCTGGCAAACCAAAGGGAAGTGGCGATCCTCGGCTTGGCTGGCCCTGACCTTGGCTGTTGCTCACCTCAGCAACACAGCACCGCGCCCTCTCTCCCTCAGCCCTGAGACAGCGGTGCCACAAAGCCCAGCGTCAGGTGGCTGCTTGCCCATGGGGAGCCCCCTCTGCTCCTTTGCTCCTCCCAGCGAGGGTTCTGGGTGTGTGAGGGATCCCCAGGTCTCAATTCCCTGGTCATTCTGAGGAGGAGCATTCCAGAAATAGAAATCCTGCCACGGGATCTCAGTCATTTGTTCAGTTGGATCGTGTAAGGGATGGAGCTCGGGGGAGGGGAGGTCCCGGGGGCCAAGGGGCACTGGTTTCCTGACACTCTGGGTGCGAGGCTGAGGTGGCCCTGATAACCCTGTTCCCCTGTGTCAAGGGGGCTGTGACCCTGTGGAGGGGCCTCAGTCATCTGTGTTCCAGCTCTGAATTCCTGGAAGTCAGGCTGGGGTGCTGCAGGGATGAGCCAACACAGGGGGTGGGGGCAGGCAGAGGTTTGAGCCTGGATGGCTTCCGGTAGCTGGGATAGTTTGGGGGAGCAGGGGGCAGGGCTCTGAGTGACACTGATGTCTGCAGGGTGAGGGGCCCCGGGGCTCAGAGGCAGATCAGGGGGCACTGGCCTGGAACTCAGGAAGCTGGACAGGATGAGAAAATGCTAATGGGTGTGTGTGTGTGTGTGTGTGTGTGTATGTGTGTGTGTGAGAGAAGAGAGAGGGGGAGAAAGAGTGAGTCTACCTATATATCCTGGGGGTCAGGGGTGGGAGGAGGGAAATTGGGGACACTGGTAATGAGAGATGTACACTGGTGAAATCACTGTTGCGTGACTAAAACACCCAATCACAAACAACTTTTAAATTCTGATTAATTTAAAAAAAATTTAATTAAAAAAATGGAAAGGTTGGGGCAGGCAGGAGATTCTGGCTTGTGCCCTCCCAGACCTCACATGGTTGGGGAAGGATCCCCCCTTCCGGGGATCGCTCTTTGGGCCGGTGCCAGAGGCTCAGGCATGGGGCAGGGAGCAAGCAGGTCAGGGGTGACCGAGGTGCCAGTCTGGCCCTGCGGACCAAGGCTGCCCGCTCCCAGGCGGTGCCCCGCCCCTTCCTTCCACCGCTCAACAGCGGGACGCCAGGCCCAGGAGCAGAAGGGGCAGCAGCGGGGACATCACCGGTCGGGTCGCCGCCCGACTGAGCTCGCAGCGACAGTGACAGCTTCCGGGCTGGAGGGTGGTGGTCACCGGGCGGCGGGGCGCCAGGCAGTCCAGCCACTCGGGGCCCATGGGCTGCGGGGAGTCGGCGTCTGCCTTGACGCTGCCCTTCGGAAAGCGCCAGTAGTGGACGCCCTTGAAGAAGTAGGTGTCCCCTGCGGGGAAGGAGTAGCGGGGCAGTAGTCAGGGACTCGCGCGACCCCGCCTCCCGCCCGCGGCTGGCCCCGCCGCGCCCTACCTGAGTTGCTGACCGTGACGCCGTCGGGGGAGGGCGGCGCCCCCTCCCAGAGGCTGAGGTCACGGGGGTAGCCGGGGTCGGGGCGCGCCGCCACCTCGTCGTAGCGCCAGTAGCGGCGCTGGCGGATCAGGTAGGTCTTCCCGTTGAGCGGCCAGGAGAACACGGCGTCCACTGGCTCCCCGGGCGGCAGCCCCAGCTCGGTCAGCGGCCGCGCCGCGCCCTCCAGCCGCCGCTCCTGGAACACCCAGAAGCGCGGGCCTAGGGAGCCGTGAGCGCCGCCGCCCCCGCCCCGCCCCGCCCCGCCGGCCCGGACCCCGGGACCCCCCTCACCGCTGAACAGCAGGATCCGGCCATCGGGGGGGCGCGCGTAGGCCGCCTGCACCTCCTGCACGCTCGCGGGTAGCCCCTCCCAGAAGCGGTGCAGCCGCGCGGGCCGGGGGGACACCAGCTGTCCCGAGGGCTGCACGCGCCAGAACCAGGGCCCTGCGCGGGGCGGGGGGCGTGCGGTCAGAGGAGCGCTGCGGGGGGCGGGGGAGCGAGCCCCGGAGCCCGGGCGCGCCCCCGAGGCTTGCTCACCCTTGAAGAAGAAGGTCTCCCCGCGAATGTTGGCGACGGCGTCGAAGTTCCCGTCGCACCTGTCTGGGGCCGCGGGGCTGCGGGGAAGACGGGCGTGGGCGCTGCGGGCCGGCCGCCGCGGGGGAGAAAGCGCCCCGACCCGGGCTCACCTGTCCGGGGGCATTGCGGGGGGCGGGGCCGGCCGGGGCAGGGGCCTCCTAGTGGGTCTGGCGTCCGGGGTCCGGGGCGCTTTCCCTGCGTGGAGAGTCGGAGGGGCGTGGGTGCGGCGCGTCGCGCGCGGGACCCCGGGGATCCCCCCACCGCGCACCCGCGGTGCCCTCACCGTAGAGCTGCTGCAGGCCGTCGCGGTCGTCCTGGGACAGGCGGTACCCGGCGGGGTCGCCCACCGGGCCCTGGTAAAAGGGCCTCATAATGGACTCGGGCGCCGACGAGTGGCCCAGGCCCAGCACGTGGCCGAACTCGTGCACCGCCACCGCGAACAAGTCGGTCCCCGCCGCGCCGTCTACGGGAGGCAGGGACAGCGGCTGAGGCACCCGCGGCCGCCGCACTCCACCGCCTGCCTTCGGATTCCGCGAAAGGTTCCAGTTGCCGTGTTCGGCGGGGCCAGGGCTGAAGAGACCCCTGGCCTGTGCGCACAGGGATGGGGTGGGGCCTTCCCCGTCCCCAGGAAGCGGAGCACAGAGCCAGCATTGCGGCGCCCTGGGGTCCCCTCTCCGCCTCCAGCCCCTCCGGAACTGCCCATCCCCACCCCAACCCCCTGCTGGCCCAGCCTTTCTGACCACAGAGGCCTGGTCCTAGGGGACACCCCCATCCCAGGCGCCGAACCGGCCTCAGAGCCTCCCGGAGCTCCAACTCCACCCACTCCTCATCGATCCAGCCCAGCCCTGCCGAGAGGCCTCCAAGGCAGCCCCAGCTGCGTCCTCAGATGCAGCTTCTCGGAAGTGCTGCTTCTGGGGGAGGGGGCGTTACTGGAAGGGATTAAAGGCGCGTCCTGACCCCACTAGAGCAGGCTGCAGAGGTCCTGCTCACTCCCCGACATGGTCACCTTCCCTCACTCACAGTGAGGAAACTGAGGCACAGAGCTGGGTGGGGGCAGACGTTCTCACAGACAGATGTCTGGGAGCCTGGGGCTTTGGGGCCCATCTGAGGGGGCCCAGGAACCTGAGGGGGCTCTGAGGGTCAGGTGGAGCTCTCGCACCCCAGCCTGGACTCCCCCGCAGTCCCCGCACCACGCAGCAGAGCATCAATCAAGCCTCGCAGAGGGCGAGCCTCCGTGACCCAGACCCTGCCAAGCCAGCCCTCAGCCTCTGCCCAGGCCCAGCTCTCAGATGGCACGCACTTCCGGTTTCATCATTACAGGCCATCCTGTGCAATCCGGAACTTCCTGCACCAGGACAAACAGCTTGATCACCCCCTTCCTCACCTCATGCATCTGATCCGGCTCTGAGGGGGGACCCCGACTCACTGACAGACGAGGACAGACAATGCCCAGCCTTGGTCATCTGTACCAACCACCCATTCCTGCATCTCCAAACACTCACCTGCCCTCCACCTTTGCACTTGTCCATCCATCCATGCGTCCAACCAACCATATGTCATCCATCCATCTATCATCCATCTGTCCGTCCATCCGTCCATCTAACGGTCCATCTGTCTCTCCGTCCATGCTTCCGGTCAGATAGACATGCTCCACCCTCCTGCCCCGTCAGCCGACCCAGTCTTTATCATCCTAAGATAACCCTGGCCCTGCCTGCCCCGTCCCCCAGACCCGTCCCTCTCCCTCCCCGGCACGCAGCTTGGCCAGTGCTCCAGAGCCCGCTCAGTTCCTCCCACTGTGTCCCACAGCCTGTCCCACTGTGTCTGAGTTCTTCCCCTGACACAGGACCCTGCAGGCTCTAAGGTCACTCTGTCCCCACAACTCTGTCCTACAACTTATGACTGCACAACTTGCTGGATTGGTTGCTGACCTGCCCAAGGCCACCACTTCCTCCTTCACTCTTGTTCTCTGTCACCTTCGGGCTGGCCATTCTGTTTCTTGACGCCTCCTCCCCCGCCCACCACTTGCCCTTAACCCAGAGCACCCCAGCCCCGAGACTTGAGCGGCCTCCAGCAGACATCTGAGCTGCTGGCACGGGATGCTGACTCAATCGGTGCCAGGTGCTGTGCAGAGCAGAGGTGATGGACTAATTGGTCGCTTGATCCATCGCCTCCAGCTCATTCTGTGCTTGTGCCCATTTCTCAGGAGACGAAGCAGCGGACTTGGTCAAGTCCCCCAGGTAGGCCAGGCAGAACGTAACCCCCGCTCCGCTTCAGAATGCTTCAGCAGATGATCCCCAGCACCCACGTATGGTCCCGTGAGCACCACAGGGGTGACTCCTGAGCGCAGAATAAGGACTCAGCCCTGAGCACTGCCAAGTGTAACCTCCCTCCACCCCCCAAAAGCATGCATCTCCAGCCCCACTTCCTGGGGAGCCCAGTTAAAAGTCAGATGCCAGAACTCCAGCCCACAGGCGCCTCTAGCTGGAAACCCAACCAGCGCCTCATCCCGCTGGCCCGGGAGAAGCCGGACCCCACTCTCCACCTGCCCAGACCCAAGGCCCCTAAGTGCCCTCCAGCCCCGCTTAAGTGGACTCATTCCCCTGGACCTGCCTCCTGTTGGCTGCAGGTGTGGCATCATGTTCCCAGGAGACAAGGTCTTCCCCGGATCCCCGCACTCCCTGCAACCCCCATACTCCCCGAACCCCCCATACTCCCTGCACCCCCCCACACTCCCCATGGCTCCCCACACTCCCCCCACTTCCTATGGCTTCCCCCACTCTCCACGGCCTGCAGCACTTCCTATCCAGACTCTCCCATGGGCACCAGCACAGATGGGGCGGGTTGCCCCACTCTGATGCCCAGGGACCGGGTTGGCTCAGCACTGAGCTTTCTCGCAGGTCGACCCCCACCGGGCCCTAAGAGAACCCACTCCATGGGATGAGCAGTCGCCACCTCCATGAAGCCCCTGAGCCCAGAGCTTGCTGGCCTTTTCCTGGGCACTTCCCCTGGGACTCCCAGCTCAGTCATTGCGTGTGGCAATCAGGCTAACATGGTGACTCAGCTTCTGTGTGGTTTCACCCTCTTTTCCCAGCCCTAGCTGGGAACTGGCGCCTGTAATCTTTTTTTTTTTTTTTTTTGGTTTCACCTTGGCCAGGCCATGGCGCCTTGGGCCGGGCGTATCTCTGCGCAGTTGAGGGCATGAGTGATCTCTTCAGTCTATGGCTGGCAACGGGCAGATCTCTGGCCAGCCTGTGGCTAGGGATCCTCAAGTCAGTTGAAACCCCAACATAGAGTAAAATCTGAGATTTTCTAGAGAAGGAATTCAGCCTCAAAATAGCAAAGCAGACACCTCAGCCTGCCTGGAAGGGTCTGAATTTGCCAGACTCCCAGTACCCCCAGTACAATCCTTTGTGCCAATTCCTCAAAGAAAGCCATTGGCAGGCACGCGGGCACACATACACCCATGCCATTCTCCAAAAGGCTCTCCAGCAAGCAATGTGACTTCTATCTCCCGTTTGTTTGGGGTACACATGCGACAGTGCTCAGGGCTTCTCCTAGCTCTGTGCTCACAGGACCATATGGGGTGCCAGGGACCAAACCTGAGTTGGCCGTGTGCAAGGCAGACACTACCCACTGCACCATCTCTCCGGACCTCCACCTGTTCCTCAGGACGGACAGCCCTGGGGAGAGGCCTCAGAAGGGGGGGACTGTACCTTTAGACCCAAAAGTCCAGGTCTCTTCATCGTCAAAGTGAGTGTCCCCCGAGATGGGGTGCTCCCCGGGGAAGAAGGCGTGGGCGAGGGTGCCCCCTGGCCCATCGAAGGGGTAGCTGTCATCGTGGTAGGCCCGAGAGAAGCTGATGAGGATGTCGGCCCCCTGGGGGTCCCCGGAAGCTACCTCCTGGAAGGTGAGCCCGGACTCGACGCCCCAGGCGGCCAGGGCGTGGTGCATGAGGGTGCGGACTACCTCTGGGCTCAGGGCCGAGTTCCCTGGGAAGGAGAGCACCCTGTGGGGAGAGTGGGCGGCCACTCAGAATCAGGGAAGGGGCTCCAGGGGTCAGGGTGGGGGGCACCCAGGACCTACCTCCATGTCAGGGTTCGCTTCTTCCACATGCTGCCGCTCAGGGCGTAGCGGCGCCGCCGGCGGACCAGCCCTGCCACCCCCATCACATCAGGCAGGGAGCAGCGGGGCTTGCGCATGGCGGCCATAGTCACTGAGTCTGGGGGGTGGGATACGGAATGAGCACAGAGCGCCCCCCCCAGGCACCGCTGACCCCTGCCTGGACCCCCAGAGGCCCCAGCTTGCAGGCAGGCCCTCCCGAAGGCGCTGGGCCACAGATGGGGGCTGATTCCCAAACCGTCCAGAGACCCCCCCACTCCCCAGCCCCCGAGGGGAGGGCCACCTGAAACTCTGGGCTCTTGGCCTCACCTGGTGGCTGGAGGGTCAGAGGGATGGGGGACACGTGCAGGGGTCAGGCAGGGCTGGTTAGTGGGAAAAGGACAGGTACCACCTTCCGGCCAGCCTCTGACTCCACCTTGGAAACACTCACCCTCTTCTCTCACGACCCCATTCCCCGCCTGCAGCTGCGCAGCACAAATCTGCTGACCTCTTCTCCAAGGCCCCTCCCCAAGGTGGCTGACCTGCCTGGAATCCAACCCCAACTCCTTCCCAGACCCCTCCACCCGCCAGCTCCTAAGCCTCATTATAGGTTCATGGCAGTGCCTGCCCCAGGACCTTTGCACCTGTCCCCATCTCCCTTTACACAGCTTCATCCTCTCTGTGTGCCTGTCGCGGGGCCTACCCTCAGCAGAGAAGGCTGAAGCAGTCAGTTTCCTCAAACGCCCTCCACTCCGGGCTGCTCCTCCAGCTCCCCAAATGGGCCTCCTCTGCTGTCTCCATTCTCTTATCTGTGTGCCCTTGCATTCTCAAGCCTGCGTCCTCCCAGGAACACATCTATTTCTCTTTTTCCCACTCTGAAACACACATAATTCCTCTCTTTTCACTCAGCATTTCTTTTTCGGGGGGGGGGGGCAGTGCTCAGGGCTCACTCCTGGCTCTGCACTCAGGAATCGCTTCTGGCGGTACTTGGGGGACCATGTGGGATACCAGGGAACAAACCTGGGTCCGCAGCATGCAAGGCAAACGCACTCCCACTGCACTATCGCTCCGCCCCTCGACTCACATAATTCTAAATAAATTTCGTTCAATGAAAAATTATCTTGCTTTACCAAAAAACAAATAGTTGTAAAAAATACTCGACACTCTGAACTTGAGGGTAAATCTCTGGTGTGTCTCGAGGCCTGTCCCCACCTAGATGGGGGAATGGATGGCCCTCAAACCTTCCGTCAGAGCCCGGGGCCTGCGGGTAAGGACTTGGTGGAAGTGTGGCCCCCTGGGAGCCCGGTGGGTTGGGCTGCTGCAGGGGCTGGGGGGGCGGGGGCTGGGGCCACCTACCCAGATCGCCTGTCTCGGGCAGCCCCGCAAACCTCTGCATGACCTTCACGGCGTTCCGAAGCTTCTCCTGGCTCTGCAGCTGGGCTTGGGCGGGGTCGGGCGGCGGCAGGTAGCCGTAGCGGGTCAGCCAGACCTGGAGCGCGGGGACCGGAGGCTGCAGCCAGACGCCTGTCCCCTCTCACCCCGCAGCCCGGCTTCCCGCCTCGACAGCCCCATCGTCTCAAATCTCCCAATCCGGATCCGGAACTCGGGCCGGACCCCATCTCCGGCCATTCTCTGGACGTCGGGTGGGCCTCCCGCCGCCCCCCGGCCGCCACTCACCACGCCCAGGCTCACGTCCTGCGCGCGGGGCTCCGGGGCGCGCGCGGGTACCAGCAGCCGCAGCAGCAGCAGCACCAGGCGCCCGAGCATGATGCGGGCGCTGGGCAGGGCGGGGGGCGCGGGGCTCCCGGGGTGCGGGAGGGAGCCGGGAGGCGCGCGGCGGTCGGAGGACGGGCGTCCGGGGAGGGGCGCGGCGGGCGCGGGAGCGGCGGGAGGTTCGGAGTCGGGGCTCCCGGGCGCGGCGGGGAGATGTAGCGGGGCTGGCGGCCGCACCCCAAAGATCGGCGACGCGGGAGGGGCGGGGGGTCAGCCCAACGTTACGACGTGCCGGAGCAAAGGGGCGGCCCCGCGGCCCCCGGCCCGCCTCCCGCCCAGGGACCCTCCCCCCGAGGCTCGCGGAGGGCGGGGAGGGGGCACGGGCGAGTTTCTCTTCCCGGTCCGCGATCCCCGATCCCTCCCCGGCGACTACCCAGCCCGCGCGCTTCTGCTTTCTCCCCGCGGGCAGCGCGCGGCGGGACAGGGGCGTCCCGGGGTCCCCCATCCCGCGGCCGGCGCGGCTCTGGCCGGGGGGCGCGCCCCTCCCTGCGGGGTCCGGCCGGGTCCTTGGGCGGCTCGGCTCCGCGCGCCCCTCGGCGGGCTCCGGGCAGGCCAACCCCGGGACGCGCCCTCGGACGCCCCAGTTAGCACGGAGGAGGGGCGGGACTGGGCCCGGGAGCCCCTGGCCCGGGCTGGACTATGCGGGTTCTGTGCGCCCATCCCGTTTCTCGGCTGACCAGGCGCGAGGGGACCAGCCTGCGCCCTGACCTCGTTTCCCGGGGCCCAGCCGCCACATGCGCGCGCTGGATCGGGGTCGCCCCGCTCTCCGGACCCCGGACCCTTCACCGCGTTTCAGACCCCCACTGCTTCCTCCCGCGGGCGGCGGCGACCCCCGAGCTCCAGGGCTCCCTCGCCACTATGGGGTTCCCATCCCGGGGTGAGAACACACAGCACGGCTGAGTGCTGACTCCAATCGAGATGGGGTGGTCCGGCTTGGGCCGACCAGCCGACCGGCCGACCCCACCAACTCGGGACTCTCCCAGCCTCTCCCAGTTGGTGACACATCGGAGGGCCCCAGCAGCCACGCCTCAAGTTTTGCTCCAACGGTTCAGAAGGCGCAGAATAGGGCCTTATTCTGTAACCAGGGCAGGAGGCGGGTGGCAGGGCTCCGTCCCCTGCTGCACAGGGTATGGCCCAGCAAACTTCAATCTCAGCCTGCTGTGGGGACTTTGCGGCCACCCACAGAGCGAGGTCAACCTGCTTCCCGGAAAGAGGGGTGCACCAGCCCATCCTCCTCCCAGTCCCTGCACAGAACAAAGGCGTCCGGACGCTCCGGAAACACAGGACTGAGGAGCCCCTAGATGTGGGAACAAAGACATACGTGGACAATGAGCACACTCTCACGAGTCAGCCTGGAAAAGCCAGTCCAGTCCGCTCAGCAGCAGCATGGGCGCAGCCGCAGAGCACAGCTCTGCCTGTGTTAGGCCTTGGGTGTGATCCCCAGAACAGCCGGAAGGAAACAAATAAACGCAAGAAACAGTCGTGTGGGTGAGGCTGCTGGGAACTCATTTGGCACCCACGCACCCAGCTGCAAACTGCAGGGAGCAGCATCCCTCAAGGAGCGCAATGGAAAGGAGAGTAAGTCACGTGGTAGGTTCAGAAAATGTTAAGAATACAGTGACCAGGGCCGGAGCAAGAGAGCAGCAGAATAAGGCTCTTGTCTTGCACACAGTTGACCCAGGTTCAAGCCCTGGCACCCCATATGGTCCCTCGAGCCCCATCAGGCATGATTCCTGAGCCTTGAGCAAGGAGTAAGACCTGACCACCACCAGGTGTGGCCCAAAAACAAAACAAAAAAGTAGAATCACCAGGAACAGATACAGAATGATCTCTCACACCGAGAGACATAGAGAAGCAGGGGCAGGTAGTAACAAGAGGCCTAAGGCAACGGAATCTGTGAACTGGTTTACAGAATTGAACTGTCCCTGTGGAGAGTGGGAGGGGGGTGTCTGAAGAGAGGGGACCCTGAAATAACGATGGAAGGAAGCCGAACCCTCTGGGAGGGGTGATAGAGGGAACGCTGTATACCAAAACCTTGCAAAGCCTGGGGACTAGGAGACTTTTTTTTTCTTTTTGGGTCACACCCGGCGATGCACAGGGGTTCCTCCTGCCTCTGCACTCAGAAATTACTCCTGGCGATGTTCAGGGGACCATATGGGATTCTGAGAATTGAACCCTGGTCGGCCACGTGCAAGGCAAATGCCCTACCTGCTGTGCTATCGCTCCAGCCTAATAGGAGACATTTTTAATTAAAATAAAATTGGGGGCTGTAGCAGGTAAGGCTTTTGCCTTGCACTCCACTGACCTGGGTCCAATCCCGGCATCCCATATGGTCCCCGAGCACCTCCAGGACTGATCTCTGAGTGCAGAGCCAGGAGTAACTCCTGAGCTTTGCCAGGTGTGGACCCCCAAAATTATTTTGGGTTTTTGGGCCATACCCAGTGATGCTTAGGATGCTTAGGCAGGGTGGGGGACAGAGGACTGGGAGACGCTGGGGGTGGTGATCAATATTTTGAGCATGGTAATGGTTTTAGGAGTGTGTATGTGTCAAAACTTATCAGATGGGGTTGGAGAGAGGACAGCCGGGAGGACACTTGCCTTGCACACAACTGACTCAGATTTAAAAAAAAAAAACTGTGGGGCTGGAGCGATAGCACAGCGGGTAGGGCGTTTGCATTGCACGCGGCGGCCGACCCGGGTTCGATTCCCAGCATCCCATATGGTCCCCTGAGCACTGCCAGGAATAATTCCTGAGTGCAAAGTCAGGAGTAACCCCTGAGCATCGCCGGGTGTGACCCCAAAAAAAAGCAAAAAAGAAAAACCAAAAAACAACCGTACCACATATGGTCCCCCAGGCCCTGCCAGGAGTGATCTCTGAGCACAGAGCCAGGACTGCAAACGGAGCCCTGGGCGTGCCTTCTCCCCAGCCAGATGTGGGGTGCATGGGGGCAGGCTTCAGGACATCACCACATCCTCGGGGGTCGGGCTGCTCGGATGCTGATTACTTCCTGCACCCCGAAACCAGTCTGGCCTTGTACTGCAAGCTCCAGTCCTCTCTGTGCAGGGCACCTGCCCAGGGCCAGGCCAGCGCTGGGAGCTGTGTGGCCAGCAGGTGGCAGCCACCGGCAGGACGGAAATGTCCTCTGGCTGGTCCTGAATCTGGCCACCACGTCCTCGGGAAGGGCCCCTTGCGCCTCTGCAGGGCTGAGCTTCCCCCTGGAAACCTCCCCCAGCGAATGCGGGGGCGCATCCACATGTCCACAGGGTCTGAGCTCCAGGAAGTGCATTAGCTGCGGTTGGCGGTGCTGGGCCCTGCTGGGATCTCAAGCCTGAGACTGTGGACAGGAGAGCCAAGAAGGAGAGGCGTGAGGGCGGGATGAAGACCCTGCCGCTGGGATGCATCTGCTGAATCTGTCTCTGGAACGTTCTGGGAACCCGCCCTCTGGGCGCCTTCCCGGCACATAGCGCTGCAGGGTGGGCTCTGCTCCCTGAGCCTCATGAGGGGGTGCGGGTGCAGGGCAGGCAAGGGCGCTGTCCAGCACCAGTGGCAGGGGCAGCGAGGCCCCCAGGAGCCAGCACTGCAGAGGCCAGGCCCTCCCACAGTTCCTCAAGCCTGCTGGCTTCCCAGCTACTCCCCAGGCCGGAAACACGGGCAGGACAGAGAACATACCTGTGGGGGGCAGCAACCTAGCGACCTTGGTTTGATGCCTAGCACCCCCTGAGCACTGCCAGGAGTGATTCCTGTGTGCAGAGCCAAGTGTGGCTCCCAATGAGAGAGAGAGAGAGAGAGAGAGAGAGAGAGAGAGAGGATGAGACACTTTTCTTGTCCAAGTTGCCATGTTAGTGGCCACTGTTACCCTAGTGTAGAAACTGAGTCCTACCAAGACTCAGTTTTATTTTGTTTTGTTTGGGGGCCACACCTGGTGATGCTCAGGCTTACTCCTGACTCTGTGCTCAGGGTACTGACGGTACTCAAGGGACCATATGGATGCTGGGAGTCAAACCCCGGTTGGCCTCATGTAAGGCAATATCCTACCCACTGTACTACCACTCCAGCCCTCATACAATTTTTGGGGGGTGGGACACACAAGGCAATGAATGATCAGGGGCGGCCCCAGGCTCTGTGCTCAGGTGGGAGTGCTGGCAGGACTAGGGGGATCCTGAGTGGTGCTCAGGGGTCACTCCTGAAGGTGCTTCAGGCGACCATCTGTGGGGCTGGGGCCTGAACTGGCACCGACCCTGCGCAAGGTGAATGCCTCCCCCCGTACTATCTCTCCAGCCTGGTGTGTTGCTTGTTGTTCTTGTTTTTGGGTTACCCACCCAGCAGTGATCAGGGACTACTTCTGGCTCTGCACTCAGGAATCACTTCTGGCGATGCTCAGAGGAACATACAGGATGCCAGGACTTGAACCCAGGTCAGCCGCGTACCAGGGAAGTGCTATTGCTCTTGTACTATTGCTCTGGCCCAGATTTTTTTTCTAACTTAAAAAATATATATCAGGGGCCACAACAAAAGTACAGTGGGTAGGGTACTGAACTTGCATGCAGTCTACCTGGGTTCGATCCCTGGCATCCCCTATAATGCCTTAACCACTCCTAGGAGTGATTCCTCAGTGCAGAACCAGGAATAACCCCTACACATCACTGGGTGTTGCAAAACAAAACAAAACAAGGGCAAGCCCTGGGCACCCCTGGATGTGGCACCTCCCCCCCCAAAAAAAAAGATAAAAAAAGGAAGCTGTAGAACCGCACGCTTAGTATGCAATATTTTTGTTTGTTTGGGGGCTGCATGTGCACAGTGCTCAGGGGGAACCTCTCAGATCACCTACACGTACACAGTGCCCAGGGGACCCTAGGGGGTGTCAGCATGACTTACTGTTCTCAAGGATTTTCTTAACCTCTTTTTTTGGGCCACACCTGGCTGTGCTCAGGGCTTACTCCTGGCTTTGCACTCAGCAATCACCCCTGGAAGAGCCATATGGGGTGCCAGGGATTGAACCCGCCCTTGTTCCCGAGTTTGTATTAGTGTAAACTTCCAGGATGCAGCTCTGTGTCACCTCTGTGGCTCTGCCGAGGACATGGGGGTTCCCAGCACAGAGCCCCAAGTACTGACACATGAGGCCACAGCACAGGCAGGAGGGCCAGGGAGACCCCGTGTTGTGCGGGCACCGCAGCGTGGCAAAAGGGCTGCCATTGTGCCTACACACAGTCACGCACTCACAGAGGAGGAAACCGACGTCCGTGAATTGAGGTCTGGAGGGGTGATCTGTGGGTCTTGTCTGGGTGAGCCCAGCCCTCCTGGCTGGAGTAACTGGGGTCCCTCAGTCCGCCCTTCCCCAGGCCTTCCTCCTACGTGACAGGAAGACAACATGGCCGGCTCTCCGGCCATGTGGTCCTCGGTCCCCACTACAGGGAAACTGGACTCCTTTTATGCACTGGCCGTCCCAGGGCACAGGTGCCCTTGTGCCCATCTCCCACTCGTCTCGAGCAATGTACATTCTGTTTTTCTAGGATCAGGAGCACCTGGCCCCAGACTCAGGCGCCTTGATGCCCTCCAGGGTTGCAGGAGACCGAGACCGAGACCAGCCAGGCTGGCTGACTCGCACTTCCCCCTAGCTCCAGAGCTGGAGCGGGCAGCCGGAAGTCAGCAGGGAAGGGGGACAGATGTGGTCAACAGGGCTTCCGGTCCCACAGATTCAGGATTCCAGTTGCTTCCGGTGCTCCTTTGGTCCCTGCTGGTGGTCTCTGTCCAGGGCCCCAGGGAGTCTGGGAAGGGAGGAACTGGTCACAAGCCAGGTCATCACGCGACAGTACAGCTGCAGGGACCTGGGGCAGCCAGCACACCCAGCCCCTGGCGGCTGTGAATGGGAGGGGCTAGGACCTGACAGAGTAAGGTGTGGTCGGGGCTAGTGGCTCCAGGCGGTGCTGGGCTGCAGATCAGACACCTCAAGTCACACTTCAGAGGTTCCCCTTCAAGTCCAGCGGACTGTGTTCCCCAGCAAGTTAGAGCGTCAGTGTAGCGTGTCTGGGAGAAGTGGTTGGCGCTTGGTTAGGGCCCCCGGCAGGCAAACACGCGCCCTTAAAAGCTTGGGGCAGGGGGTGGAGAGATTGTCTAGCAGGGAGGGCGCTTGCTTGACGCTACTGACCCGGGGTAGGATCCCCAGGACCACAAAGACCCCTCCAGCCCCTCCAGGAGTGATCCCCGGGTGCAGATCCAGGAGTAAGCCCTGAGCACAGCCAGGTGAGCTCCCTGCAAGAAATAAAGCATTGGAGGCAGAACCGCCTGTGTAGCTTGGTGTCTCTACAGTTCCCAAACTCTGATTTCTCCCCCGCGGGGCTGCCCTGAGCCTCGTGTTTGCACGCGCCGTCCCGCGACCCCACCGGCCCCGGCCGCCAGGGGGCGCCCGCCCGCCCCGCCCCTGCTCACCTGTGCGGGCGCGCACCTGGCGCCGCCTCCGGAAGAGGGACTCGGAGCGCGGGGACCTCGGAGGGAACCCGGCGCGGCGGGTGAGCCTGGGTCGCCGGGGACTGGAGCCCTTCGAGTTCCGAGTGGGCCAGGTCCGGGGTCCGGGGCGGGGCGGGGGCGCGCGGACGGGTACAGACAGCGTGGGCCCCCTCGGGCAGGGGGGCGGGGGCCGGGCCTCCGCAGAGACAGGTGGGTCGAGGTGCCAGCGGGCGGGACAGCGACGGGAACGATGCCCCGGGTCTCCGGAGCGCGGTCTGGTGGCGCGGCTACACCAGCCCTGGCCCGCAGCTGCCCACTGGGCCTTGGGAGGGGGCTGGCGGCCCCGAGACGGCCGGACCCGGGCCCGGACACCCCGGGGAGGAGCGGGAGGACGGCGCGCGCGGGATGAGGGGCGTGGGAACGCAGGGGCCAGGAGGGCGCCCCCTCCGCCCTCCCTGCAGAGCCGAGCTGGGGGCGGCTGGCAGCCAGCCGCGCGCTCCCCAGAGGCGGGCTGGAGGTAAACAGAAACCGGGAACCACAGTTGCCGGTACTACCTGTTGCCTCGCCCTGGCCCGCCCTGTGTCAGCGCTGGGAAAGCCGCGGGCTGGAACCTCCCTACGCTCGGAGACAGAGGGTCTGGGTCCCCGCCACGTAAGGGCCGGGTGCCTGGGCACCTGGGGTGAGAGGCGCAGGGGTGGAACCTGATTCTGGAAAGCCTTCAGTTCCGGGGCTGGGGGGAATGGGGGCGTGGGGGGGTCAAGGCCCGGCTTCTGGGGAGGGTTCCCAGCTGCTGGGGGGCTGGGGGAGGAGAGGGCAGAGAACAGGTCGCCTCATTTCCTGCTACCTTGTGCCTCAGTTTACCCTGGGGACATTAACGGAGCTGGGTGGCCAAGACATAGATCATTAACCATTTGGAGGCCAGCAAGGCCCTGACCGCAGTACTGGGAGCGCCAGGACAGGCGAAGAACTTGAGGGGTCATTCCCACAGATGCGGCGGGCACCATGAACTCCCCAGCCGGGCTGCTGTCGGGGGCTGCATCTCCCAGTGGCGAGGATGGCTTCTTCCCCTTTGTGATGGAGCGGCGGGACTCGTTCCTGGGGGGTGGCCCCGGACCCGAGGAGCCCGCTGACCTCGCCCTGCAGCTGCAGCAGAAGGAAAAGGACCTGTTGCTGGCTGCAGAACTGGGCAAGATGCTTCTGGAACGCAGCGAGGAGCTGCAGCGGCGGCTGGAGGCGCTGAGCGCGCAGCACGCAGAGCGGGAAGAAGTGAGAGGGGAGGGGGTGGTGGGGGAGGGCTGGAGCATTCAGGGACCAGATTGTCCAGGGCGGGATATGGGCTTAGGGGGCCTGACTTTGGCCTCTGATCCTGGCAAGGCAGGCATGCCCGCCCCCCCCCCCCCCCAGCAGTGCCCAGTGCCCTCCTGGTCTCTGTCCTGACTTCAGTTCTCCCTGATCCTCCTAGGCAGGCCTGGGCTCTGGGCCAGCCATGCCTTGTCCTGGGGTCCCAGCTGCCCTAGGCACCGAAGCCCCTCACTGCTGGGCCTTACCTCCCCCTGCCTACATGACCTGGGCAGCCCTGTCCTTCACCACCTGCTGCCCAATCACACCTCCATGGAAGTGGCCGTTGGTCCTCTGGCCCCACTACCTGCTGTCCTGGCCCAGTGTCCACTTGGGTCCACAGTCCACCCCTTTCCACCTTACAAGCCTGCCACTTCTCACAGGGTCCATACTACCCCCACCTCCCTCCAGACTCCCCCACATGGGGCCCACAGACCCAGGTCATTCATCAGGGTTGCAGCTCCTCACTGTCCCAGAGTCCTCCCAGACCCCCTCTCTGCTGCCCCCAGCCAGAGCCTCTCCAGGTCTGGAAGAAACCCCAGCTTGTGCCCCTGAGCCTTTGCACCTGACACTTTCCTCCCTGGCCTGCGACCTCCTCTCTGCTCGCGCTGGGTGCTGGACATGCTCTGTCGCTCTGTGCAGCCTGGCTGAGGCGTGGGCCCCTTGCCTGTGGTCCTCTGAGCTCTGACTGCTTGAGGCTCATCAGCACTGACCGCTGCCCTGGGACAGGAGCTCAGGCCAGATGGGCAGGTGGGACTCAGCTCGGCAGTGTGGGGATCACCGGGACACAGACCTGCACGCCTCCAGCTCAGGGCTGCTCGCTGGTGCCTGACTGCCGGGGCTGGGAATTTTCTGTGCTCAATGACTCTGTGTCCTTGGCCAAGGCATGGAGCCCCTCTGCCTCAGTTTCCTCATTTGTGAGAAGGTGGGCTCCAACACAGCGAAGGAAATGGAGCGCAGAGGCAAGCCTTGCTCCAGGACTAGGGGAGAGAACCGACTAGTAATTGTGGCTGCGTGGTCAGCACTGCCTTCCTGCTTCGGGCCTCTGATGAGTGGGGCCGGGGACCAGCCCCCCCAGACTCACCGCCTCCCCAAAGCTGGGCATCTGGGTGTGCCCGCGTCCCCCCGCTGGTCCGACTGGTTTGGGGGAGGGCGGGGCTGGCAGGGTAAATTAGAGGGAGCTGGTCAGATCTGCGGGGAGAGGGGCCGGCAAGGGCTGGAGCTTGCAGCCCCTGGACAGGCAGGAGTGAGACCATGGGCCGGGGGTTCAATTCGGCCAGACTCAGGCGCCAGAAGCGGCGGCTGCGCCCTCGGGCCCAGAAGCTGCGGCGGCAGTCTGAGGTGGGTGGCACTGAAGGGCCTCTAGCCCCCTTGCAAGCCCCCACGGGTCGCCTGGCTCCCTCAGGCCCTGCCTGTAGCTGAGGCTCTGTCCCCGCCCCACAGCGGCTGCAGCAGGAGAACCACGAGCTCCGCCGCGGTCTGGAAGCGCAGGGCGCCGAGTGGGAAGCGCGGGCCGGGGAGCTGGAGGGCGACGTGCAGGCCCTGCGCGCGCAGCTGGGGGAGCAGCGCTCCGAGCAGCAGGACAGCGGACGCGAGCGGGCGCGGGCCCTGGGCGAGCTCAGTGAGCAGAACCTCCGGCTCAGCCAGCAGCTGGCTCAGGTGGGACGGCCTCGACTCCTGCCCCGGGCCGGGACCCCTCTCCGGGTGGCGTGGGGGCTGGGCCAGCTGAGCGCCCCCCTGTTTCCCAGGCTTCCCAGACAGAGCAGGAGCTGCAGCGCGAGCTGAACGGCCTTCGTGGGCAGTGCCAGGCACAGGCCCTCGCAGGGGCAGAGCTAAGGGCACGGCTGGAGAGTCTGCAGGGGGAGGTGAGTGCCGGGCAGGAGAGCGGGGAGAGGCTCTGGGTAGCTAGCACCCCCCCCCCCAAATCCCCCTCATACTCCCTCCAGCACAGCTCTAGGACCCTCTTCCATTACCCCTGCAGCTCCCCTGCAGCCCCCTCAGATCTCTGCAGCCCCCTCCAGCCCCCTCAGTTCCCTGCAGCCCCTGCAGCCCCCTCCATCTCTGAGCCTTCCCCAGAACCAGATGCTGCAGAGCCGCCGGCAGGACCTGGAGGCGCAGATCCGAGGCCTGCGGGAGGAGGTGGAGCAGGGCCAGGGCCGGCTGCGGGCAAACCACGAGGAGCTGCTGCTGCTGCGGAGGGAGAAGCGGGAGCACAGCCTGGAGGTGACGTGGGGACCCTGGGACGTGGGGGGCAGGGCCGGGTCTCTGGGACTCCGTGGAAGGTCACTGAAGAAAGCGGAGTCCGCTCCCAGAACCGTGGGGTGCAGCACCCACACGCCTGGTCGGGCCGGGGGATGCCCGCGCTCGGGCAGGGAGACAGGGAAGAAGGAACAGGCGAGAACTTGGCAGTCGGCGTCCTGGCGTCCCTTATCTCAGCACCCCTAATAGTGTGGAGCAGCCGGCCTCAGTTTCCCCGTCTGCGGGGGCTGGTACAGCGCCCAGCTGGGGAGGATGCCAGGGTGCCGAGGGAGAAGGCTGACCGGTCGGGGGAGAGGCGGGGCTCTGGGCGACGCCGGACCGGGCTGGGCCCGGGGAGACTGAAGGCCTCGGGGCGCGAGGCGCTGGGAGACTGAAGGCCCCGGGGCGCGTGGGGCGCGGGGCGTGGGCGCGGGCACGGGTGGCCCCGGCTCACCGCTCGGGATCCGGGTCCTCAGCTGGAGCGCGCGCGCGCCGAGGCCGGGGAGGCGCTGAGCGCCCTGCGGAGGCTGCAGCGGCGCGTCTCTGAGCTGGAGGAGGAGTCACGCCTCCAGGAAGCCGACGTGTCGGGGGCTTCGCTGCAGTCGGAGCTCGCCCACAGCCTAGACGGCGAGCAGGCCCAGGGCCAGGACACGGAAGGCCGCGCGAGCCCCCCGGTGAGCCCCCGCCCACCCGCATGCTGCCCGGGAGGGCTGCGGGTCCCCCCTCCTCCATCGGGGTCGGGCCCGCAGCACCTCCCTGACCTGCGCTGTTGGCGAACAGACCACGCCATCCCCGGAGACCCAGGAGCCGTGCGCATCGGAGCCCCCCAGGAAGCGAGCATCCCTGAGTCCGGGGGAGGTGCTGGAGGAGAAGGAGGCGGAAGTGGCCCTGCTGCAGGATGAGGTGGGGAGGGCCGGATGCTGGACGCGGGCCGCTCCGGGCCGCAGCGCCTTTTCTATCCATGCCTTTGCCCATGGATTCCCCGCTACCCGGATCGCCTTTCACCCTAACAAATTGTCATGCGTATGCCACCTCCTCCGGGGAGACTTCTGAGATCTACAGGCCCACTCCTGGCCCCTATACCACCCAGCACGTCCCGCCCCATTCCGTAGCAGCCTGCGGGCGCAGGACCACAGTGGCCTGGAGCCCCGGCCTCGGAGAAGCACAGGAGCGGGGAGACCCCGGGGTCCACCTGGCTGTGTCCCCTCCCCTCCCCGCAGATCGCTCTGCAGCGGACAGAGCTACAGGCCCTGCGCGAGGAGCTGCAGAGGCAGAAGGAGCTGCGGGCGCAGGAGGACCCCGAGGCGGCGCTAAGCAGCGCCCTCTCGGACCGGGACGAGGCTGTGAGCAAGTGAGCCTCTGCGCCCCCGCACGGCCCTGGAGGCGCTACCGCCCCCAGGGGCCCTGCCCCTCTCCCCGCCGGGCCCCGCGGGGGCCCAGCAGCACCCCGCCGGCCCTGCGCGTGAGGCCCGGCCCCTGACCTGCCTCGCGTCTCCCCGCAGGGCGCTCGAGCTGAGCCTGGAGCTCAGCCGCGTGTCGCTGGAGCGGGACTCCCTGTCGCGGGAGCTGTTTCGCGCCATCCGCCAGAAGGTGGCGCTGACGCAGGAGCTGGAAGCCTGGCAGGTGCGGGGGACGGGCCGCGGGCGGGGCGGGGCCCGGGGGCGGGGCCGCGGCTGACACGCCCCTCCCCGCCCAGGACGACATGCAGGTGGTCATCGGGCAGCAGCTGCTGTCGCAGCGCCAGAAGGAGCTGAGCGGCCCGGGGCCCGCGCCTCGCCGCGCCGCGCCCCGCTTTTCGCTGCGCCTGGGCCCGGGGCCGGCCCGCGGCTTCCTCAGCAGCCTCTTCCGAAGGACCTGAGGCCCCGGCCGCGGGCGCTGCGCTCGCCCCCTCTGGAGCTCTTGCCGCTGGCCAAAGGAGCGGCCAGGCCTGGGTGGTCTCCCGTGGGGGGCCGGTGCCCTCCGGGGAGTCTGGGTAGGGGCTCGGAGGGGACAGGGTCCGGCCCGGGGTTCCGGCCCGGTGGCGGGGGCCGGTGGGCAGGACCTATCTACTTCCCCAGTCTCTACACGTCTGTCTTTTCGGGGCGCTGTTCCCCCAGCTCTGGCACGCCCCAGGGCAGGGCTGGGCGCGGCTACTTGTGTATGGGGATGGACAGTAATATATAAACCGGAAGCAGCTGGCCTCTGTTCTTGGAAAAAAAGGAGGCGCGTGAAAAAAACAGAACTTTTATTGTATAAAAATGAAAAGGCTGCAAAGTGCTGGGCGGTGCTCAGAAGGACAGGGAGAAGGCGCGGTAGCCCAGGTTGGTGAAGACGTCCACCCTGCAGCTGTTGCCGGCCGCCGTCAGCACCTAGAGGCAGGTGGGACGTGACTGAGCCGCCCACGCCACTGCGCCCCCCAGCTCGGGGCCTCCCTTGCACTCAGGGGCTGTCCATCCACCGCGCCCCCCAGCTCGGGGCCTACCTTGCACTCAGGGGCTGCTGGCTGCTGGTTCAGAGCAAGACTGAGCAGCCCCGGGGACGAGCTGGGCACCTGGGCCTTGAGCTCCCCACTCAGCTGCCACTGGTTGACACAGGGGCCTTGTCCTGCCGACAGGATCTGCCGTGGGGGGAAGGCTGAGTGAGACAGGGTCAGGGCGGGGACGGGCTGGCCAAGGGGCCCCCCATCAGGGCCCAGAAGGCCTCACCAGGTCCTGGTAGAAGGTAACGTGCTTCTGCGGTGCCCGTAGGGGGAAGATGGTGGTGGGCGTGGAGGAGCGCAGGTGCCACAGGGTGAGCGCTGGGCCCCCACCACAGACCTAGGCAGAAAGGAGGGTCCCACAGAGCTGGGTGAGGGGCCCCAAACATAGAGAGGGGTGTCCCCACAGACCTAGGTGAGACAGGGAGACCCAGAGACCTAGTAAGAGGGCGTCTCCAAGACCTGGGTAGGAAGGAGGGTCTCAGCTCCCAGCCCGACCGCCCCCCGCTCACCATCCAGTCAGAGTCTGTGGCCAAGCACCCGATCCAGCGCCCGTTGTGGGGCCGCGCACACTCCTGAGGAGAAGAGGCAGGGTCAGGGGTGCCCAGGCCACCAGGAGGGAGAGGCTGTGGGCACACCCTCACCTCATGCTTGTACACCTCGATGGTCTGGACTTCCTTGGCCGAGCGGAGATCTACCGGGAAACAGCCCTGGAGCTGAGCTCAAGGCCCCCGGCTCCCTCAGGCCATCGGACCCTCCCCCGGCCCATCCTTACCCCACAGCCGCACGGCCCCGTCCTCGCCCCCCGACAGCACCTCGGGGCTCCGCTCCCGTAGCGCCAGGCAGTGGACGTAATCTGTGTGTCCCCGAAGGGCCCGCTGTGGGGACAGCGACGGTCTCATCCAGAACAGGTCCCTGAAGACGCTAGTGCGCCCCACCCCCAGCGCGGCCCCCGCTCACCGTGAAGGTCCCAGTCTCCAGGTCCATGGTGTGCAGCTGACAGTCACCCCCCGCCAGAATGAGGGAGTTCTCCTGCAGGGAGGAGGGGCGGGAGGGGGTCAGGGCCCATCTGGGCCGAGGACGGGGCAGGCGAAAACCAAACCCGGCCCCGAGGCCTCGCACCTTGGGGACCAGTAGCAAAGCGTTGATCTCAGGCGCTTCCAGGCTGGTCCTGGGGGAGGAGACGGGGGTCAGCACGGAGATGAGGTGCCTGCATCCTGTGTGCCCGCTGCCCGTGACCCCAAATTACCTGTACGGGGGTTGCCGCCGCCACAGCTCCTTACAGCCCTTTGCGGAAGAAAACTGGGCATGACCTCACAGGCTCCCTGGGCCCGATCCCCGCACCCCACAGCCCCCAACTCCTTGTGAGGGAGGGCTTGGTCCTGGCTCTGCACACGGGGGTCACCCCTGGTGGGGTTCCAGGGCCCTCTGTGCTGCTCGCAGGCCCGCAACAACTCTACCTTCTTGAGGATCTCTGCCCAGAGCCAGGCCTTCACCTCGCCGTCGCCGGCGCTGAGCAGCTGTCGCTCAGTGGACACCATGGTGTAGACGGGTCCCTCGTGGGCTGGGCAGGAGAGCAGCGGCCTGAGTGCCCCGCCGCGCCCTTCCCTCCCGCCCGGCGCCCCCAGCCCCGCAGCAGCTGCGCCCACCTTGGAAAGTCACCACCGGCTTCTTGCTTTCCTCCTTGGCCTCGGAGCTCAGGGCGGCCGACAAGCTGCGGGGAGGCGTGGGGAGGGGAGGCTGAGCGCCCGCGCGGGGGGCGGGAGCGGGGGGCGGGGGGCGGGGCGGGGCGGGCGCGGGTACCTGAACACCGCGATCTGCCCGTAGTTATTGCCCGCGGCCAGGAATTTGCCGCAGGGCGAGACGCTCTGGGAGAAAACGGTCATGTGCAGGCGCTGCAGGGCCTGGAACACCTCCATCTGCGGGGAGAGGCGGCGTGACGGCCGTGGGGCCCCCGCGCCCAGCCGCGCCGCCCACGGCCCACACTTGCGCCTGGGGCAGCCCATCGGGCCAACTGCGGGCACGCCGGGGGGCGGCGAGGGAGCCCCGGGGAGACCCTGCGGCGGCCCCCTCGACCGCCAAGCGCGGCTCCCGGGGACCGGGTCACGGCGGGGGGACCCCGCGCGCGGCCGACGCCGCCGAGGGCTGGACAGGGCGCTGCGCCCCAGCACGGGCGGCCGCAACGCCTCTCCGACAGGCCCGTCGGCTACTCCCGGGTTCCTCTCCCGCCCCCGGGTCGGAGCACGCGTCCACCGCTGCCCGCGCCCAACCGCCGCAGCCCCCTCGCGACGCGGACTACAAGCCCCAGAAGGCACCGCGCGCCCCGCTCACCTGACCCTGAGGCCCCGCGTGCGGCGCGGCTCGCTCCATCCCCGGGACTACGAGTCCCAGGGTGCTCCGCGCGCCCGGCAGCCTCGCGCTTCCGCCCGCGTTCGCGAGAGGCTCCCCTCGGCGGCGTCCCTCCGCCTCCACGCCGCCGGCCGACGCGGCGACCGGCGACCGCCGCGCGCCGCCCCGAGTCTCGGGAGTCGAGGTGACCGCCGCGGAGTTGGCCGGCGCCGAGGCGCGCCCCCGCGCAGCCCCGCCACGCCACTCCCCTCCCCCACCCCGGCGAGCGCCCGCGCCGCCGCCTCTGCCGCCGCCGCCGCCGCTCCGCGCCTGCGCACACTCGCGCCTAAGGCCCCGCCCTCGCGTCGACCCCGCCTTCGGAGGCGCCGCCCCTCGGGTCCGCATCCCACCCCTCTTCCCGCAGGACCCTGAACTCCGATGATTCTGCAGCAGCCCCTGGAGCGAGGCCTCCCGGGTCGGGCCCAGCGCGACTCGCGGGCCGCCTCGGGAGTGCCCCGAGGCCTGGACTCGAGGTGTGTGTCAGGGGCCTGCCGGCCTGGCCCGCGATGCCGGCGCTTTGGAGGGGTTGGGGACCGGGGAGAGGGGCTGGTCCGCGGGATGCCCCGTGAGGGGCGATGCACCAGTGCGGAGGTGGCCTGGGACACAGGCGCTGCAAGGCCCCGGAGACGGAGTGAGTTAGGCCTCCGCCGAGACAGACCAGGGGCTCCAGGCCGCGAGCTCCGACGGACAGTTCCCGAGATGGGTCGAGAGGGTGGGGTGCACCTGGATCTCTTCTCTTCCCAGCTCTCCTCCCCGAGGAGCTGTGCCCATGAGCACCAAGCGGCGCCTGGAGGAGGAGCAGTGAGTTCAGGGTCAGGGCGGGCCCCCCAGCTGCAGCCCCTTTTGGCTGCCCTCTGACCCTTCCAGCCCGTCTCTCCCCAGGGAGACCCTGTGCAAGCAGTTCCTGTCGGAGGAGAACATGGCCACCCACTTCTCCCGCCTGAGCCTGCACAACGACCACCCTTACTGCAGCCCCCCGATGGCCTTTCACCCCACTCTGCCCCCGCTCAGGTAGGGACTCGGCTGGCGGTCCCCGCTCCAGAGCCTGTGCCGGGCCCTGCTTCATCCTCTTTTTAGCAAGCCAACCTGCCAAAGGTGCCAGCTTCTGGAGACGTGGGTCTGGGGGCGGTGGCCTTGCCGTGTTTGCCTCAGCCCCTGCTGTCATTCCCCCTTCCAGGAGCCCTTGCTCGGAGCTGCTTCTGTGGAGATACCCTGGGAACCTGATCCCTGAGACCCTCCGGCTGCTGAGGCTGGGGGACACCCCTGACCCCCATTACCGTACATCCTCAGCTGGGGACATAATGGAGCTCTGAGTGCCCCAGTCATCCTGCCCCTCACGCAGGAGGCTGGCTGCCCTCCCTAGCTAGCCTCCAGACCAGGCCGCGGCCTCAGGATCCGTCTCCAAGGAATGGGCGGGATGGTGCTCAGGGTGGATGGGCAGGGGCACCCCCAGGAGACCCGAATAAAGATTGCTGTGTCAGCCTGGAGTCGCAGCCTCTGGGGTGGGGGGGCTGCAGGGTCCCCCCCCCCCCGCCCCCAGCGCTGGGCTCCTCCTCAGATCCTCCCTGGGAGACTGTCAAGGCCAGGCCAGCCGGGTCCTGGCAGGCTGGCTCCTGGCTAGGCATTGAGAATGTGTGAGTCAGAACCTCCGCCCCCACGGTGACTCACACCCTCCCTCCTGTGCCACTCTCCAAACCTTTTAAAGTTAAAGCTTTTATTAATAAATTCTCCCCAAATAAATAGCCACCCCCCTCCAGGGGGCCGAGAGGGCTGTCTTGAGATCAGCCCCCCTAGAGGGCCAGCCCCTAGTGTAGGAACAGATCCCTCCCCTCCCCCTGCCCGGGATGAAATGTCAGTACAGATGCGGGTGGGGCAGAGGGAGAGGGCCGCAGGGACCCCTCTGTGCAAAATGCAGTTCCTTAGTGTCGTGCTCGGTCTCCTGTTCTTCCTGGAGTCACAGGCCCATTGGGCTTCTTGGCAGGTTCCCCTGAGACCAGGACACGGGGCTCAGAGGTGATTCACTGTCCCCCCCATTCCTCCACACCCTGGCGGTGTCTGGGGTGGTTCCGGAGAATGAATGAGCAGAGCAGGCCTCTCACTGGATCAACGCCACGCCAGGGCAGCCCTCGCCACCCGTCTCCTCGATGGGAGCTACAAGATAAAAAGAGGGTGGTAAGGAGCAGGGGGACAGGCACTGGGGGCCGGGGGACGGCAGGTGGCAGGGACACACTTACTGGTGAACTTCTCTCTCCTGCGGCAGCGCTTCCAGACCAGGAAACCGGAAACTAACCCCAGCACAAAGGCCAGTCCCAAGGCACCCCCCAGGATGGGCCACAGCAACCGAAAGGGGGTGGGGGGGGTGGCAACACCTAAAAGCAGAACTTGAAGTCAGACCTCACACCTTGCCAGACCCCACCCCATACCTCTAACTACTAAGAACCCTCCTCGAACCGAGTGGCCCTCACCTGGCTCCAGACACCCCATCCCCAGGAAGACACCCGCAGCCCCCCTCCGCGCGTTCCCACTCACAGCCCAGGCAGAAGTCGCTGTGCGGGCGCGCCGGGCACGAAGCACAGTCCATGCACTTGTCGAGGTCCGCGCTCCAGGAGCTGCCCCGAGAGCAGGGGGTGGTGCCTGGGGAGGGGGCGGGGGTCAAGGCTGGGGCGCGGCGCGGCTATTCTGGGGGCTGAGGTCAGGGTCGGCCGGCTCGAATAACGTGAGTCACAGGCGCCCTCCCCCCGCATTCCTCCCAGGTGACCGCACGGTCCGACCAGGCACGGATAGGGGCCAGAGCGCGGGACGCCGGGCGGTGTGGGGGTCAGGTCCCCACAACCCCCCGCCGCCGGCGGGTGACTCACTCCTGGGCATGGGGCCCGATTCGTCTGGGTCCCTCCCCCCCGCATAGCTGGGCACTGAAGTCACCGGATGGAAGGGGCACCCCACATGGTATAGGGGCACAGACAACCCCCCGGTCGGCCGACACGAGCTCCCCAAGTCTCGGTTCACTAGACCTAGGCAGGCCCGTTATTGACCAGTGGGGGCGTGACCCCTTCTCCAACCAGACATCCCGCCCTCAAACTTTCCCTTCCCACTTCCGAGCCCGACTTCCAAGACAGAGTACCCTCCACTCTAGTGGGACAGGTGGGGAAACTGAGGCCCGGACGACGGATGGAAGCAAGGTGGAAGTCAGGGTCGACCCCTCTGGCCAGTGAATTCGGTGTCCCGTGGGTGTCTGGACCCGGACGCTCACCCCGCCTCACCCCCCGCAGTTTCTCCCGGCCCACCTGGTCCCCAGGGTCGGCTCCCCCGCCCCCGTGCCCGGCATACCTGGCACCCGCTCCCCGGCCGCGACGACCAGCAGGGCCAGTCCGAACCCCAGCACGAGGACCCGCAGCTGCGGGTGCAGCGGTCCGGGAACCATGATGCGCGCACGGTGGCCGCGGGCTGCCCGTCTGTGGCCTCGGGCGGGCCGGGACACACCGCGGCGCCCCGCCCCCACCCCCGCCTTCCGGGGCCGACCCCGCACCCGGCACGCCCCTAGCCCGCGCCCGCGGCGGACGCCCCGCCCCAGCCCCGGCCCTGGCCCTGCCTCCCCCCGCCCCCGGCCCGCGGCCGCGCCCCGCCCGCCCCCGGCTCCGCCCCTATGAGGAAGCGCGCCCCGCCGTGGAGCCCCGCCCACCCCAGGCCCGCCCCGGCGCCACGCCCACCCTGGCTCGCCCCCAGCCCGCCGCGCCGCCCCGCCCCACTCTCGGCCCCGCCCCCCCAAGAAGCCCCGGCCCGGCCCCGCCCCAGGCCCGCTGCGGAGCCCCGCCCGTGTGGCGCGCTGAGTTCACTCATTCGTTCAACAAACCCGGGCCTCGCTGGGGAGCTACGGGCCCCGGAGACATGGATCAGGCGTGTGTGGGAGGGGCGCGGGGCATACCCCAAACAAACAACCTAGGCCAGACCTGCAACTCGACGGCCCCTGGAGGCAAAGCAGCCACACGCACCCAAATTCCTGGCGCGCCTGTCCTCGGCCTTAGGAAGGGCTGCTGGCTCCATTTCGCCGAGGGTGAAACTGAGGCCGCGGCCACCGCGCCCGAAGGCGGCGTGGCCGAGACGGTTACACACTCCGCGCCCGCACGCACTGCGCCCCATGCCCCGCACCGGAGTCGCGAGCGCCCCCGAGCGCCCCCCACCGACGCGCGCCCGCCACGGTCGGAACCGGGGTCTCTGCCCCTCCCCGGGGCGGTGGTCCGCTGACGTCACAGCTGCTTTAAGACCCCCGCCTCCGCCCCCAGCCCCACACTCGGCCGGCTCCTTCGAATCCCTCAGGAATTTGCAACAGGTGAGCGCCGGGAAGCGCGCGTGTGGGGGCGGGGGAGCAGGCCCGAGTAGCGGGGCGCGGAGGCCGCGGCGGCGGGCTTGGGGTGCTGGCCCAGGACCCGAAGTCATCCTCCTGGTGGCCACCCGGGGCGGGACGGGTGGGGTACGCCGGGCCTACAGGGTCCCGCAGAGACTCTGGAAGGGTTAAGCGCCCTTCCCCCCTCCCGGGGGACAAAGGCACCGAAACCGGGCGCCCCTCCCCCACCTGCACTGCCTGGTGGGGCGGGGTTCCCCTCCCCCTCCCCTCACCTGCGGGACCGACCCTGCTTCCCGCCGTCCTGAGCCCCTCGGCCTCCCTGGACCCCCGCGCTCCTGCGGCGTGCGTGTGGACGCAGGTGGGCGCCGCCCCGTCGCCGCGCACCCGGGCCGGGCCGGCACTCGTGGGCCAAGGCGGGAGGCGAGCCGCTCGCTCGGTCCTGGCCCCAGCGGGGGGCTTGGACCGGGTCGTGGTTTCTGGACCATGAGGACCACCTCCGACCCGGAGCGAGCCCGCCCCTGCGACCTCCAACTCCCCGCGGGCTGTGAGCCGAGACAGGTGTGCGCCGGCCTGTCCCAGCCTCCGGGTCACCGCCACCCGCAGCTTTTGCGCCCTTTAGGGAAGGCGTTTCGGGCAGAATCTACAGAAAATGCTCCCAGCACGGGTCTGGTTTGTGGCCCCGGAGTGCAGCTGGTGGCCTTGGGGAAGGAAGCTTTTCCGGGGGCGGGATGAGCGAGGATTTAGCCTTCTGGCCTTCGGGCTAGGTTGGGCTAGGGCACACAGGACCTTGGGATTTTTTGGTACTTTGAGGCTACACCCGGTGGTGCTCAGGCGCTACACCTCACTGTCCTGAGGGTCTCTCCTGGCGGTGCTCAGGGACCACTGAGGATCCACCCAGAGCAGCCTCTTGCCAGTGAAGCCTTCAGCCCTTAGCACACTAGGGGCCAGATCCAGGCTGGGCTGAGGGACGCGGACTCGTGTGCGTTGGGGGTGTGCAGGTGTGCAGGAAACTCGAGAGCACCAACCCGCCTGGTCCTGCCCCTGGTCACCTGGCCCCCTTTGGCAGCTCTGCTGCTGGTGCATCCCCCTGCCAGCGCTGGCGCTCGTGGTGCAGCCATTGGCCATCACCCTCCAGATGCCCGTGAGTATGCACGGCTGCCAGGATGGGCTTGGCCCTGACTCGCTGTTTCACTGGCATCGTGCTTGTCTGCTCTCAGGAACTGCGGCGGGTCCAAGGTAGTGGGTTGGGGTAGGCCGGCCAACATGTCCCTCTGCTTCTCTCCTCAGGCTTGTGCCCGCTCCCCGTCGCCATGGCCTCGGCTGGTCTGCAAATCCTTGGCGTTGTCCTGGCACTGCTGGGCTGGGTCATTGCCCTGGTGTCGTGCGCCCTGCCCCTGTGGAAGGTGACTGCCTTCATCGGCAGCAGCATCGTGGTGGCGCAGGTGGTGTGGGAGGGGCTGTGGATGTCGTGCGTGGTGCAGAGCACCGGGCAGATGCAGTGCAAGGTGTACGACTCGCTGCTGGCGCTGCCGCAGGACCTGCAGGCGGCCCGCGCGCTCTGTGTCGTGGCACTGCTGCTGGCCCTGCTGGCCCTGCTGGTCTACGTGGCGGGCGCCAAGTGCACCACGTGTGTGGAGGACAAGGACTCCAAGGCCCGCCTGGTGCTCTCCTCTGGAGCCGTCTTCATCTTCTCCGGCATCCTGGTGCTCATCCCTGTCTGCTGGACCGCCCACGTCATCATCCGGGACTTCTACAACCCGCTGGTGGTGGAGGCACAGAAGCGGGAGCTGGGGGCCTCCCTCTACCTGGGCTGGGCGGCCTCGGGGCTGCTGCTGCTCGGTGGGGGGCTGCTCTGCTGCACCTGCCCCTCCGGGGTGTCCCGGGGCTCCAGCCACTACATGGCCCGCTACTCAGCCTCGGCCCCACGTGGCCCCGCTCAGGGGCCCTCTGAGTACCCCACCAAGAATTACGTGTGATTTGGGTGGGAGTGCGCTCCCCAGCCCCCCTCAGCATTGGTGTTTGGAGAAGCTTTGGCATTTTCAATTCTTGTTTTAAAGCGAGGGGGGCTCCCCCACCCCACCCCTGAGTTGCCAGGGGTTCTCACCGTTGCACAGAGCTGGAGCCAGAGAGATGATGCGGAGCTTCTGGATCTTTCTCCACCTGTACATCCCCACCTTGAAGCCAACCAACCTGGAACTGTGGGCCAAGCTAGATGGTGCCTGAGGCACGTGGATGGCCTGTCCCTGAACTGCCCGGGGGCTCTCCCTGGGCTTGCTCCAAAGCCTTTGCACCGCCTGGAGACTGTCTCTGAAGGGTCCTGGACTAAAGTTCTCAAGAGCACCTCTGCCCCCCCCCATTCCGCCCCCTCTACACGGCTCTATGTTCACTGAATAAAGTGTCTTTTCTTCCAGATCTTTGGTGTGGGGAATGATGACAGGGACCGGGTGTCTCACCTTTGTTGCCACAGATCCGCAGGCTTGAGTAAAGGAACTTCCAGCAGCCCCGCCGCCCCCAGAGGCCTTGGCCTCCCCATCTGACACAGATCAGAGAAGCCCATGTACAAAGCACGTTTATTTCCATGGCAGCAGGGAGAGGGGCTCCATCCCCCGCCCCGCCCGGGGCTGGCTCCTGAGAAGCAGAGCCAAGGGCAGGGCACCAACCCTGGGGATTAGAATCAAGTTCTTGGGGCAAAGCCAGTATGAGGAGGGGGTGCAGTGGGGCCCTGGCTCCAGCTTTCGGAGCAGGGTTAGCCTGGGGGAGGGTGCGAGGCTGGGGGCAGGCAGGCGTCTCCTGTGGCCCTCACACATAGTCTCTCTTGTCCAGGCCTGATGCGCCGGAGCGGGAGGGGATGGAGTAGCCCAGCCGCGGGCCTCTGGCCCGGTCCAGGTGGGGGGGCGGGCAGGAGCAGCAGAGCAGCCCCCCGCCCAGCATGAGCAGGGCTGCGGCCGCCCAGCCCAGGTAGAGCGAGGCCCCCAGCTCCCGCTTGAGCGCCTCGGCCACCAGCGGGTTGTAGAAGTCCTGGATGATGGCGTGGGCCGTCCAGCAGACAGGGATGAGCACCAGGACCCCGGCCAGCAGCAGCACAACCCCCGCGGTGAGCTCGATGCGAGCCTTGGCGCCCTCGTCCTCCACGCACGTGGTGCACTGGGCGCCCGTGATGGCCACCAGCAGGCCGAGCAGGGCCAGCAGCAGCGCCACGACGCAGAGCGCGCGGGCCGCCTGCAGGTCCTGCGGCAGCGCCAGCAGCGAGTCGTACACCTTGCACTGCATCTGCCCGGTGCTCTGCACCACGCACGACATCCACAACCCCTCCCACACTACCTGCGCCACCACAATGCTGTTCCCGATGAAGGCAGTCACCTTCCACAGGGGCAGGGCGCACGACACCAGGGTCCCCAGCCACCCGAGCACGGCCAGGCTCATGCCCAGGAGTTCCAGGCCCGTGGAAGCCATCGGGAAGGTCTCGTCGAATCACTCAGAGGCAGCGTCAGTCGCTCCCACGGGCTTCCCCGGGGCCACCAGGAGCAGGTTGTGCGTGTCCGGAACCTGGCAGTCTTCACATCTGGGGTCCTCTTGCCAGGCACCGTCTCTTCTCGGGTGCCCGCTGGCGTCTCTGAGCCCCACGGAGCACGAATCAGCTCAGCCAAGTGTCCCTTCCGGGGCCTGACTTGCTGTCTGAGGGCTTGCGGGGACCCCTCCGACGCACCTCCAGGCTGGGCTCTGGCTGACACTGGCTCCCCAGACAGGCTGAGGTCTGAGCGCCTCTGGGACTGCTGACTCCCAGCGGGCGGAGCTTTAAAGTCCAGAGAGGAGGGGAGGGGCGCGGGGGCGGGCCTGGGCGGGACCAACGTCGGGGATGGGGGCGCAGAGGGGGCTCCAGAGACCAGACCTGAATATGGGACACCCATACAGATGCCCAGGGACAAAGAAATGGGCAGAGCACACCAGCAGGGGTGGGGGTGTGGGGCCAAACTGACTCAAGACGGACAGACAATTCAGGGGTGCCCTGGCTGCATTGCTGACCCGACCGCCCCCGCGCTGCCTTGGCCCTGTCCCCCTGTCCCCTTGCCCCCCTGCTCCTGGTTTCATGATGAAAGTATCGCATCCCCCCCCTGTGCCCGCGCCTGCCGCCGGCCCAGGAATCTGATCTGTCTCCCACGGGAGCCCGCCAGCGCTGTTCCCCGGGTGACAGGTGCCTGGCAGCCAGCTCAGGTGGCATCGCCTGGGCAACGGCCTAGAAAACCTTCCCCTGCTGCACCTGGGCTCAGGTGTGCCCCCCACTGTAGCGGGCGGGGCTGAGTCACTGCTGAGACCTGAGGTTGCCCCTGTACAAGAACCTACTGAGGGGCGGTGGGGGGTGAGCCTCACACAGGCATCCTGCCTCTAGCCCTGCAGGGAAGGACCCCCCCACCCCCCCGCACACAGGTCACACACCGGGTAGCCCTGTGGTAACCCCCAGCGCCCCAAATGACTGCCCTGTAGGAAGAGTCAGCCCTGCAGAGAAGCGCCTCTCCGACCCTGGAGGGGGGATGGGCTGAGCAGGGTCCTAGGTGGGGCATCCTCACCCAGGGTGGGAGCCTTAGGTGACCATTGGGGGGCTTCACCCCCAGTCTTGGAAGGGGGGCCCTTATTTGCGAAGGGAAAGCAGGCATGCCCCTCCCTGTGGGGACACTACCTCTACCAGGCTTGCCGGGACCCCAAGCTTGTGGGAGCTTGCTGGGGTAAGCACACACACACACACACACGCACACGCACACGCACACGCACACTACACAAACCACACAGGAACAAGCACATGCTACACACAGGCACACACAAAGAACACAGGCACACGCACACACATACCACACAGACACACAGGTACACACACACAGCACACAGGCGCACGCGCACACACACACACACGCCACACAGGTACATACTACACAAAGGCACACACACCACACAACACCCAGGCATACGCAGGCACGCAGGCACAGTGGGGGCGGGGTGGCTGTGAAGGGCCGGAAGGGGAGGCCTGTCAGTGGCTCCCTCCGACGCCTTCGGGGGGCACCAGGAATCCAGGAATCCAGCAGCACAGGTTGGGCAGGTGTCTGGAGGGGCCCAGGGCCTGCCGGCCTCCCTCCCTTCCACTCTCCTCTAGCCTCCCTCCGGCCCTCCCCTCCCCCTCCTCGCCCAGGCCCCGGCCGACCCCCTTGTCTTGAGCATGCGTACTCTGCAGTTTGCCCTGCACTTGGCCTAGGGACTCGGAGCTGCCCTGGGCAGCCTGTTGGGGTCCCAGGCCCCTCAAAAGCCCCCCTGATGGGTCCTTGGGGGCTGCACCCTGGGGCACACCCGGTGACCAAGCCGGAACAAGAGAATCTGGTTTTCTAGATCCCAATTCCTCTTTGGCATCTGTGCGGACCCCCAGCCCCCCTGGGCCTGTCTCCTGGGGTTCCAAGCAACTCCCACCACCCACTCACCCGACTAGACCTCTCCCAAGGCCCAGGGAGATCGATGAGGAAGTGCCCGGGGTGGCCACCAGAGGAGCCCCCTGGGGCTGTGCCCAGGCACCCGGGCAGGTCCACGTCTGCCCCCAGCCAGGCCTGGGCCCAAGCTGCTGTTCTCACCGCAGGTGATGAATTTAACGGGAGTCGGGACTTGAAGGGTTAACCTTGGGGTCTACACAGAACTGGCGTTGTGGGTGGCCATTGATATGGAGAGGCGGGGACCCCGGGATGTAGTTTCCATATCTATGGAACTTTAACCCCACCCGCAGCCAGAGCGAGGTGGGGGAGGGGCGGCGAAGAAACTGAGGCTTGAACCGCGGGGACCCTCGGGGAGACTCTGGGGGCTGCTCCTGCCATTTCTTGGCTCTCAGAGGAACCCCAGAGGTGAACTGGGGGGACACACCGAGCACACGCCCCACCCTCCTCCGCAGGGGCCAGGAACTGACCATTGTCTGGGTAGCCATTAACTTTATTATCAGGGTCCGAAGTGGCCCTCGAGGGTGGGGCTGCCTCTCCCCGGAGGCCCCTTCCGTTTGCTCTGCCCCTCACCCCGCAGCCAAGAGGCGGCAAAGCTGCTGGGCCCCGCCCCCCACCAACCGGTGCGGTGGACCCCCGGGCACCCAGGGTGAAGCGCTCGGGGCAGCTGCAGCGGCGGGCAGAGCCTCGGGGGCCGCGGCCCCAGCGCGCGAGAGGACGTTTGCGCAGCAGGAAAGCGCGGAGCCGCTGGCTCGCTGGTGGCCCTGCAGCTCCGAGGTCTCCCAAGGTCAGGCCGGCGTCCCGAGAGGGTGCCCAGTGAGAGAGGCTGGGGTTACCTGTGGAACAAAGGGAACTTTATTCGGGCTGCCGGGGAGAAACTGCGACGGGGGCAGCGCGGGAGCGCGAGGCTCCTGACTGTGACTCACCGCGTGCCCCCTGTCCCCGGGCTTACTTCAGAGCCCTCGCATGTGACCCGGGGCGGCAGGTATGGGGTGGCATCGCGCCTGCCCCGGGCAGGCCTGTGTCCCTTCGAAGCTCCCTCCCGAGGCCCGGAGGCCGCTCCCCACCCGAAGCCCAGCGGCCAGGGCCTCTCCGCCTTCCCTTGGGGAGGGAAACTGAGGCACGTGGAGCAGCGTCACGACAGCATTTTCAGTTTTCCGTTGCCTTCCTCTCGTGGCGCATTATGCTCCACCCCCGCACACCCCCGCCCCCGCCACGCCGCCCGCGGCCTTATCAGCGCAGCGGATCACCCTCGGCCCGCGGGCAGGAGGCTGGCTGAGCGCGCGCGGCCCGCTGACCCTCCTCCGCAGCAAGGGACCCCTACTCACAAGCCTGCAGACCCCCGGCGTCCCCGAGCGAGGGCGGCCGGTGGTCAGCAGGTCGGCGGCAGGAAGTAAGGCGGCGGGGGCGGGGGAAAGACGGGCAGCGGCCAGGGGCCGGGGGGTGCGGGCGGCAGCGGCCAGGGCTCGGGGGGGTGCGGGCGGCAGCGGCCAGGGCTCGGGGGGTGCGGGCGGCAGCAGCAGGCTGAAGCGCGAGGGCCGCGCGGGCAGCGGCGGCAGCGGCCGCGGCGGCGGCTCGGCGAGGAGCTGCGGGCGGCCGCGTGCGCCCACGGGCCCGGGCGCGGCGGCCACGGCGGCCTCGGGCAGCGGCGGCAGCGGCAGGTGCGCGGGCGGCGGCGCGGGCGCGGGCAGGCGCGGCAGGTCCTGCAGGGCGAGCGCGGCGGCGGGCGGCGGGGGGCGCGCAGGCCTCGGGGGGCAGCTCGGGCAGCACCAGGTGCGGCCCGGGGCCCCAGGGCGCCAGCGGCTCGGGCCGCAGCGGGAGCGCAGGCAGCGGCGGCAGCTCGGCCAGGGCGAGCGCCAGGGGAGGCGGCGGTGCGGGGCTCAGGCCGGGCGGCAGGCCGGGCAGAGGTGGGTGCGGCAGGGAAGGCACGGGCGGGGGGGTCAGCGACAGCGACGCGCGGGCCCGGCCCAGCCGCGAGTGGGCGCGGGCGCGGGCCAGCCGCGGATGCGAGCGGGAGTGGGGAAGCCGCGCCGCCAGCGTGGCAGCTGCGGCCGCACCTGGGCCCGGAGCGCGCGCACGTAGCGGCCTCGTCTTTCCCGGTAGCCACGCGCCGGTTGCAGACAATCCAGCCAATCAGAACCGCCCACCGGCGTAGCCCATCCAATCAAGGGCCTGTGCGCTGGATGTCCGCGTCTCTCCCCACTGCAGCCAATAGGAAGTCCACGCGCTTTTGATCAATTGTTTTCGCCAATCATGAAGTCGGGCGTTACCGGAGGCCACACCCCGATCCCTGAGCTCAGGCGCTGCAGAAGCGCAGTGGGCGCCCCCTCCTGGCCTGAGAGTCGAAGCCGCAGTAAGCTCTAGCTCCGCTTCTCACCGCTCCTAGGGAACTGTGTGACTCTTTTTTTTTAGAATGGATCCTTTGCAACGATTAGTTGTATAAATCAAAAGCAGGGGGCTGGAGAGATAGCACAGCGGGGAGGGCGTTTGCCTTGCACGCGGTCTACCTGGGTTCGATTCCCAGCATCCCATATGGTCCCCTGAGCACCGCCAGGAGTAACTCCTGAGTGCAGAGCCAGGAGTAACCCCTGTGCATCGCTGGATGTGACCCAAAAAGCAAAAAAAAAACCAAAAGCAAAATTTGTTGACAAGTAGAATTGTGTTCCTGTTACTAAGAATGTTGTAAACGACAGGTGCGTGATAATCTGGTAGCTAGGTAGCTAGGTAAAAGGAGAAAATAGTGCATATATTTAAAATTGGACTATGGAGACGCCAGGGAAACAGTTCAACTGTCAAGAACTAATGCTTTGCGTGCAGGAATCTTGGTTTGATCCCTGGTACCACACGGTCTTCAAGTGCCAAGCCAAGAGTGGCCTCCACCCCACCAGATCTAAAGAAAACGTTGGTGGGCTAAGGAGATAATGCAGCAGGCAACGTACCTGCCTTGCATACGGTCTTTCTGGGTTGGATCCCCAGCACCATACGAGATCCCCTGACACTGGCAGAGTGATCCCTGAATACAAGAGTTAGAAGGAAATAA